TTTATTATTAATATAAATAATTTATTATTTTTTTTACGAGCTAGCTAGTAATAAGTCGCTATATTAATTTTAATAATATTATTAATAAATTATTATAATTTAACTTATATATATATATATATATAAAGTTATTTATTAATTTATATTATCTATAGATAGATATATACGATATTAAGTCTACGCTAGTAACTCTATAAGTATCTCTAAGATATTTTATAATAATTATCTATAAAAAATAGAGAAATACTATATTCTTATAATAAGAAGTATATATATATAATTTTTCGTATATTAGAAAGGAGTAAAAATATTAGATTAATTAATAGTATAAATCTTATAATATCTTCTATCGTAGTAAAAACTTTTAGATAATAAAATGAATGTCGAAATAAGATATCGAACGATTTTAAATCGTTTAAATATATATTATTCGATAGATAATTAAAGTTTAATTCTTATCTATAGAGATTTAATTAGCTATAATCGATATAGTAGATCTCTCTCTTATATACTTATTATAGTAATATATTATAATATAATATTATTTAAATATATAAAGATAGTAGATTAAATTATAATATCGTTTATCGCTTATTAAATAGCGATCTAATATAGAATAATAGAGAGTTAAGTCGTATTCTTACTTATAGTAACTTTATTATTACTTACTTTCTTTATAATATTCTTTGTATTTATCTACTATAGTACTTTCTTCTCTTATTAAGTATTAAGCTAATATAAGATTATAGAATATAGATCTATTATATTATTACTACTATTAACTATCTTCGTAATTATCTTCGTTTATATTACTTTCTCTCTTATAGAGTATTAAATTTAATAACTAGCTAAGTAACTAGCTAATAGTAATCTACTTGCTTATAAAATAATCTATTTGTTTATTCTTAATATATATAATTAGCTTAATCTCGAAGAATATTAACTTATTTTTAAAGGGATTTATAGTTCTCTTTAATAATAAATTACGAAATAAAATAATTTATTATCTCTTTTAGTAGTTTGCTTCTATATTATACTTCTTAAATAATACTCTTTATATAAAATAGTCTTATAGTACTCGATATAGTATTACTTATATAGAGTTTATAGAGATTCGATATAATATTTTAAATAATTAAATAGTTTAATAAAAGGATCGACGTAGACGTAATATTAAAAGATACTCGATAATAGCGAGTATATTAGAGAATTAACTTAAAGCGTTATACTATTAAGTATTTAATATAAACTTTATATAAATATATAATATAGATATAACTTATAGAGACGTTTACTATATTATAGAATTAAGTAAAATTAGATCTTAAGATATTATTATTAATTATTAAGAAATTATTATAATTTAACTTATATATATATATAGTATAAAGTTATTAATTATCTATATAATCTATAGAATAGATATATACGATATTAAGTTTACGCTAGTAGTCTTATAAGTATTTTTAAGATATCTTATAATAAATATTAATAAATTTAAACTTTAAACTTTAATTCTTTTTATTCTTACTTAATAAAATATTTAAATTAATCTTATTATTATAAATAGATAGAGAAGAGCTTTATTATTTTAAAAAAGTAGATAAAAAAGTAGATAATATAGATACTTAAAGCTTCGAAGTTAATAGAAAAGAGAGTTTATTTACTATTAATATTTTATTATTATAGCTATATCGATCGAGTAAGAAAAATATCTTATCTTATAATATATTAAGAACTATTTTTTATTTATTTATTTATTTATTTATTTATTTATTTAGAATTTTTTAATTATTATATTATATTCTAATAATATAGTTAATATAAAATATACTTCTTTTTAATAGCTTTTTATTATTATTATAGAAAGTAAATAATATATAATTAATTATTTTATAAGCTAGTTATTATAATCTCTTAATAATTTAAATTAAGATAATAAGAGTAATTTTAAATATAAAACTTTATATATCGCTAAGATTTATAACTTAACTAAAATTATATAAGTATTAATATATCTACTATTTATAAAGAAGTTTTAAAATAAATACTTTCTTTCTTATAAAGATAGTATAACTTATATATAAAAAGAACGATATACTAAAGCGTTATTAAAAGTATCTACTAAGTATACTTTATAAGTATCTCTTATTATAATTTTAAAAAGACTTATTCATTTTTTAAATTCGATAAAGAATTATCGCTATTTATAATATTAACGTTATTAATTTTAAATTCTTTATTTATATCTATTAAGTAAAGTCTTACTTTTTTAAAGACTTTATAAATAATCTTAATTTAGATAGTTATTATATAAATACTTTAATAATAATCTTTCTTATTATAATTATAATATATAAATTCTCTTAATTTTAAATTAATTTTAATATTTAAGAGTATAATAGTTATAACTCTAATAATAGATATAAGATATATATTAATTATAAATATTATTCTTATTATTTATATTATATTTAATTTAATAATAATCTTCGCGAACTTAATATCTTAATATCTAATATATTATAAGTTATCTAGTTTTTAATAATATTTCTTTATAGTCTTTAAAGTAATAAAACTTCTTATAATATTTTATAACTCTTTTAAATTAAATATTAATTTTTTTAAAAGATAATTTTCTAATAGAAGAGTTTTTTTAATATTAAAAATAGTAATTAATTAAATAAAATCTAAATAGAAATTAATAAAAAATTAGATTTCTTATTATAAAGTATTTAAAATCTTATAAATATTAACTAACTCGTTTATAATTTTATTAATAAATTAATATAAATTAATAAAGTTTTAAAGTTTTCTATATATAATATATTATATAATTTTATTATTAGATTATAAAATTATATAAATTATTTTAAAGTCTTTAATAAGATAATAATCGCTATTAATCTTAAATTTCTATTTTATTCTAAAGAATTAATTATTTTAAATAAGATTACTATTATTAATAAATATAAATAGATTTAAAATCTTAATTACTTTCTCTTTTAAATATCTAGATATATATTTTTTCTTAATTAAGAATAATTATAAATCTTTTATTAATTATATATTAAATTTATTAACCTTTCGCTATAAAAAAGTTATATTCTTTTAAAAATCTTAAACTAATTAATTTATCTACTCTATTAATATATTAATTTAAAATAAATTATTTATAACTTAATTCTTTTTTATTATAACGATATAATATTAAATAATAATCTCTTAAAAATTATTTTATTTATAATAAATTTTATTTAATATAAATATAAATTTATTAGATTAATTAATAATTTAACATTATAATTATAAATTATTAGCGATATTTTAAAGTATATTTATAAAGTTTATCTTATTAAGAATATTATCTAATAAAACTAATATTTATTAAAATTTAATTTAATTTAATAGAGTTTTGATTTAATCTTTTTTTTTGATATTAGACTTTATTATAAGAAAAAAGAAAGAAAAGTTTAAAAGAGAGTAAAGAGAAATTTAAATACTTTAAAAGAATAGATATTAAGAATATTAGATCGATTAGAGAATAATAATAATTCTCTAAAATATATTAAAAATATTTAATATTAAGAAAAAAGATTTTTATTATAAAGTTTAAGATAGGATTATTTTCTTATAAGAATTTAATATATTTATTTTTTAATTATTTAAGATATTAAGAAGATTATAAGTATTTTAAATAATAATTTTTTAAATATACTTATTTAACTTAGAGAGTCTCTTATTTTATTAGAAGGTTTTTTATAAAAAAGCTTAATAATTAGTTATAAAGAATAGTATCTTTAATTAATTATAACTCGATAATATTTTATCTAATTAGAGTTTTATTTAAATTTTAAATATTATAATAAGTAAAGTTATAATTAATATTATTAATATATATTATAATTATATAAATATAAAATAATATTAATTATTTCTTTTAATTCGCTAACTATATAAATAATCTAATATCTTCTTTATTTCTTAATTACTATTTATTAAAATTATTTTGCTATTTTATTTAAGCTCTTTAAAATAAATATCTATTTAATAAATTTATTTAAAAATATAATAACTTAATTTAATTTCTTACTAAAGTCTTTACTAGCGTATTTCTTTAAACTTATTTATTAATATAAATAAAATAATTAAAATAATTAAGAACTACAACATCAGTGGTCAGCGAATGGGTTCAAGATACAAGGAATAAGAAGTCCACTCATAACGTGTACGCCCTTCTTAGCACATACCTGCAAATGACATTTCACGCCATTCTTTCTGGTCTTTCTTTCCCCACACCAAAGGTACATAAATAAGCTTCGGAAGCCTGTTATAAAGGTACACACTTGTGGTCTTGTACTTGCTTGTTTTCTTCGCGTGGGAAAATCCTGTAGTTGTAGGCATTGGGAAATAGTAGACTTGGTGCGTATATTAGTTGTGGTGACTCTTGTGCACACTCCAATGACGGAGATCTACCTTCCCCATACCACCATTACAGCAGGCTTAGTCAGACCTAGAGCGATGAGGTAACTTCCTGTCAGATGTTCACATGTCCCATGCCTCCCCACAAAGCTGAGATCAGTTCTGAACAGAAGGTCTCCGTCAGCATTCTCACCCAGGTAAAGAGACAGGTCTGGAGATAGGCATCTCAGAGGGTACCAATCTTGCCCTTGGCGACGCGGAGCCATCGTAGGAAGAAAACAACAAAGGTTCGCTACAAGCGAGAATCGTGATTAAGCGGCCTCTGTTGATATTTGTCATCAGGTGCATTGATTAGTCCTTCCCCCAGCCTTTCCTCTGCGTGCCGTTGACCGCTTCGTAATTAGTCCTCCCGCCTGTCCTCCGCGTGCCATTGACCGCCCCGTAATTAATTCTCCTTCAGTCTTTGTTCCAAGCTATCTCACTTATCGTCGGTCCTGGTATCTGACTTTCTTCGGACTCTCTCTCTCCCACCCTCTTCTCCCTTCTCCAGACTTCTCGGTCGCGTTGAAGACATCACCATGGCCTCGCAGGACTTCTCTGAAATATTGATCAAATCAAGATATGATCCAAATGATCCATTAAAGGTAGCCCAGTTTCAGGAGACCGTTTTCGAGTTTATGAAGCTAGTCAGAGACGACAACCTTGGTGATCCGAACGGTGCGAAGCTCATGGACAAATTCTGCGAGCTCGTCAACGACAAAAAAGTCTGGCACTTAGCTCAGATGGTTGTACCTGAGTTTCGATCAACGCGAGAAGAGCAGTATGCATCCAAAAACTTGTATACTGCCCTTCACTTTGTCTAACAATATTGCGTCTAGGATCCATGAGCACATTGAGGGAGAGGGATATGCGTGCATGAACCACGTCCTCAACAAGCTTTCCTTTCTCCCGCCACCACGGAATGACATGAATGCCCTGGTCACAGAGCAAGAAATGGTCGCGCAGAGACACAGGCAGGACGTTGAGTATTTGGTGACTAGGGGACGAGGCAGACGGGGAGCCACATCTCGTGAGTTAGATGATGTGGAAGATTCTTGTCGTCAGGTGGAAGGCGAAATAGAAGGTAAGCAATTTTTGAGCAGTCCTCTGAAATTGGCTGTTGCTGATAGATGTCGGAAAGCCTCTCTTCGAATCCAAGAAGATCAATTGAGAAGCGAAAACGAGATCAGAGGTAGAGTACACGATACAGAAGAGGCAATCAAAGGTAAGGCCGACAGGAAGAAGAAGGGAGTAGAAGAAACAGAAGAGCTCGAAGAAGAGGAGGAAGAAGAAGAAGAGGAGGAAGAAGAAGAGGAAGAGGAGGAAGAGGAAGAGGAAGAAGAGGAAGAGGGGAAGAAGAGGAAAAGGAGGAGGAGGAGGAAGAGGTAGTGGTGAGAAGAAACACACGAGATAAGAAGGGGAAGGGAAAGCAAAGCACTGGTGTACCTTAAAACTGGGTGTATGCCCAGAATTAGCTAGTCACGAAAGTATTATACACAGAGAGGCGAAGCCTTTGTGGTTGGGATGTCCCATCCACCGGCGCCTTGGGTTCAATCAGTCTTAGTAGAACATTGAAAGCAGCTCTTTTCGCTAGACAATACCTTTGAAATAACAGCTTTTACAACGAAACTTGCAGGCAGAATTTCAAGTCTTCTCGAGAAGAGCCATTGCGAAGTCGGAGATATGGGCGTTCTTGTTGTAGAGTTGCGGTGGGCTGAAAGAGGACTTCTGACAAGATTATCGCGCAGCTACAGGGTTCAAAAACGTGTAAATTCAATAATGTCTTTATCTGTGAAACCACTGTGCCTAAATGTAAGACTCTGCACAGTTTAGATAAAGGAGCTGCTCCCGAAATGATCGCAAAGTCGCAAGTTTGAGGATGAAAACATGGGATGAGAGATCTAAAACATGATATATATAAAAATAGCAAAATCTGCGAAGGATAACATAGCAGGGGCTGTGGTCTAAGGGTATGACGAGTCTTTAGCACGCTGCTAGTGTTATAGAATAGACTAGGTTCGGGGTTCGAGTCCCCGCAGCTCCAGACAACTTACATTTTTGCACACCTTAGGAGTGTTGATTTTTGTTTCTAGATTTTATGTGTTGATAAAAGTATGCCGTTTCTGGAGTAATAAGCAAGTTAGCTGAGATTTTGGCTACCAAAATTTGGCATCGCGGAATATGAATCGTATTGTATCTATCTATACTCTCGAAGGACGAAGTCGTATTTCTGATGTCTGTTATATTGTTATATCCTTGGTTCTTCAGCTTATTGGAATGTGGTGTAAGTTTTTGAGTGTAAAAGTTGTTGTTATCAGAAGAGGAAAAGAAAGCATGGCTGTGAAGTCTACTATCTGAATAGTAGGTGGCTAGCCCTACCACAAGGCTGGGAGTATATTCCAACACTCTCCTTTGCTCTAGGTCTTGTTGCCACTCAATTATAATGTGATTAAGGCTTCCTTCCCTTCATGGAAAAGATCTCGCTATCGCCATGTGACTCCTCTTAAACACAAATACATACATACATGCTGGAATAACACATGACTGAATATCATAGAGCTGTCGAAACCACACGACATTAAACACTCTATTCTGACTCCCCTTGACACGTGGGAAATCAAGGCCACCGGCCTAATATCGCTACCATATTACCCCGTTTCTATCTTATTTCTACCTCGTTTCTACCTCGTTTCTATCTTAATAAATTAAGTATCGTAGATTGTGTACTTGAAATAATCGTATATCTGTACTGGATCGTCCGGTACTAGCGTCCATCTCCTGCCATTGTCTATCACAAAGTTCCAGTCAACATGATGTCCTCGCTTTCGGACTGCCTTGTGCAATGTGAGACATATCTACAATGTATTGGTCTAGAAAGGGCCAAATGGGCTTTGCTCTTGCAGACACCTCTAGACGCTTGATTTCTTCCTACTGACAGGGAAGTAAATGTTGAGGACCCTACTCATCACAATAGATCCGGACGTCGGCATCGTCCCTGGTATTTCCTAACGTCATCGCACCAATCCAGCCTAAGTCTTCTTGGAGGTGATTTATATCGTCTACATTCATTCCAAATAGCAGTACAGGCGATTGCTTACCGACCACGAGCTATGCCGCCGTCTCCTCGTCAGTCTCTACACTGAAATCCCTTACCCTTTTGAAGAGCAGTTGATAGATGAATCTTTGGTATCTGTCGCTAAGATTGAGCAGTCGGCTGGACCCGTGGGTGGCAACATTCAGAGATCCTTGCACCGTTGCTGACGTGAAGCCTTTCAGTAAGCACCTTTGATCTACCCAGAAAGTTTTGGGTGCTTCGACCTCACAGTTGACAAAGATGGAGGTCACGGAAGTCAAATAGAGTGTCAGAATGAGAGGCCAAAAACACAGACCGCCAATGCAGAAGAAGGCCATCGTGATGGAGTTGCAGAATGTGAGCCGAGTCCTTGGTCAACTTCAAGACATTTTGTGCCTTATCTCAGGTCGACTTGTATAACTTGGTAGCTCGCTCGCATATCCCATATCCTGGTAAGGCATTATTTTCACATCTGTTTCTACGCTGGACTTACCTATCTCGGCTATTTTGGACCATTGCTTATACATATTGTCATACAATGTATCAGCCACTTTTTTATGGAAGAGCATGAGCCGAAGATGGCCTGCCCAAAGTAAAGCACGACTTTCAAGGCGTAAATGTGAGGCTGACGCCTAATACACGGAAACGTTCAAAACATATGAATGAATCATTTCTTATACATGTACCCTTTTTCAAACGCGGTCACTTTTATATCTGGGACAATGCGGTACGAGCTTCCGTTGTAATCTGTTCACAACTTGGCTGATTTACTTTCTTTCAAGCGACACCGAGGACAGCATGATATTCCCCTTCTTTACATGTTTCAGTCCCTTCCGTAGACTGATGCATCGAGCATGTTGAAGATATTGTGTTTGCTGAGCTTAGCTTTTTCAAGGTTGGTGCCAAGTTTCTGCCATGAAACACACCATAGCCCGTAGCCAAAAGAAGGCTCATCAAATATTGTTGCCGTACTTGCCAGATTCTTCGTGTCCAGAAATTCTATGGAAAATATATGTTATCAGCCTCTGAAATAGCTGTTGGAGTCGGGGTTGCCGACGTATCGTCCTGGTCTGTAAGCCTTCTCCAGATGGATCCAAACGACTTCGAATATATAGTCCAACTCAGAGTCCGTGCCACCTCACATCTTTCCCCACAATCTCTATCACTTTTCTGCTATCATAAGGAATACCTTGTTGCTTTACGGCAGCACTTCATTGGGTACTGGCAGTCCCGCTTTGCGCTCTCCAGACATGCTTCTCCCCACGGTTGTCTTCTTTGGGCTTCCTCCTGCAACGCTGAAGAGCGCTCCAATCTACTTGGAATTACCGTGGCACCACCCGCAGTCAATACCTTACTACCTACAGTGACTCTTGCACCGGTGACCAACTTCAATGAATCACTCGTCAGTCGTTCCATTTAACGTTTTGTGGAACCGTAACTAAAGACACACAGCCAGCGGGCCTCTCCGTAAACGTGACAGGCCCGCAGATAGAAGTCATAACAGATGTCGCCAGTCTGAATGGAGATACGTTACCTGCTCTTGGACCGGACGCTGCGGCGGCGTTGAAAATAGCCTATCAAGAAAACTGTCCCAACGGGCTAGGCAGTCCAAATTGCGAAACCAGCCTACAGCTCGCCTTGAACGTCGACCAGCCAAACCTCCAGAAACGCGTCGTCGTATTTCTTGTCTCCATCCTGGTTGTGGGAATGGCTATAGAGTTTGCAGAGATGCGGAAACGGAGAATGTAATCAGCAGAATCAGAATGCCTAGCGTCAACGTTGCGACGCCATCGTCGGTCCAAGGTAGAAAAACTGTTGTGTTCGCAACTCAGACAGACGGTGGCCAATTGATAACGGCAGTACCAAGCCCAACAGTCGATAGCACTAGGTGAGCATACTTTCTTTCGCTCACGGTACGTATCATTTGACAACGCTGATACATGAGTAGTCAATTTTCTATTGCTTCCGTCACGGTTGACAGCAGCCTTGCCCAAAAGGGTGACCTGATCTTCGCAATGCCACCCGGGGCCGTTGTTGCGCTAAGCCAGTTCGTGCAGACGTACGGCCGGTGCACTGTAACAAGGAAGCGAAGCTGCGACCCATACGAGACTGCAGGATACGTAGCTGGGCAGGCCGTACGACAGGTGAAGCCTGGAGGTGTCACGAAAGACCTGATCACCATGCCTACTGACATCTCATTCGGGGATCTCATTCAGCCGCTGGCGGCGCCGCTTCCGCAGGTGGTACTGTTCGGCAGGCAGGTCACCGCGTTGGCTGCGAACTCTGCCCTTCTCAACATTGTGGCCGCCTTCCTTCTTCTAGCTGCCTACGCTGAGCTTACGACCACAGCACCCGATCCTACCCGGTCGATCATCCCCGCCAGCGACTTCTCGACGTCTCAAAGGCCTCAACAAACAGGATCAGAATGTCCGCAGCACGTACCCAACTGCAGCAACTGTGGCGGAAACAGCAACATCCAATCAGACCCCTTACACACCAACGGGAACTGTGTCGGTATCAAAACGACTAAGTATAACAGCTTTGCTGCAGGCTGTGTCTGTGTGGACCCGAACGACCCGCCGGGGTTCCAGCCATATGAGAGCAGCGAAGCCATCAGCGAAGCGCAAGCCTTCCTGGTCGCCATGGCTGCCGACGGAACAGGAGACGCCATTTCCACGAGTGGCTCTACCACGATTCCTGCATCAAGCTCCCCTTCCGCGACCCCGGCTAAAGCCTGCAACAACGGCGTATCGTATGGTGAACCAGAACCGTGCGAGGCGAATTGTTCTGCCGGGACTTGCACGCGTGTTCTGGCGAAGGTCGGGAGATGTAAAGGGTGCACACCTCCCCCCACAACTTACTACAAATGTACGTGTTAGTAGAAGTCTTGCTGCTAGATCGACGGTTAGGTTCTCGAACTCTCCGAATATGTTTGGCAAGCCATGGGTATTATCGGTCGGAGAGTAAGAGGAAATTTCACGAGATCATTTACTGCAGAATAAAGATTGTTTACCCTATGTCATCACATTCCAATGATCGCATTCCTACCATCACAGTGTCTCGGCACACTCTACCACCTTCTTCCCTCCTCCCCCCATCCTTCCCCTTACCCCACCCACAGCTTCTTCGACAAAGAAGCTACCCTGACCTTCCAGATCCCTCATCCCGCTCCATCGATCGATCAATCGCCGCCATCAACAAGGCTCATATCCAACAACCAGACATCGAAGCACGAGTCTCTAACGCAGTCAACGACCTTGCTCCAAGCTACCCTCCAAAGCCCATATAAAACACTTGATATAAATACATCTACACCGCATAGATCCCTTTCCATCCGCACAGTCCCCCAACGGCTTCTTCCGCGGCCCAACGAAGAAGGGGGTTGGTTCTGCGAGCCAGGCCTTACACGACCCGTCTGCGGCCTATGGCACTCTGGTACCATTCCTCACAACATCTTTAACAAAAATCTCGACAGTGCTTGAAACACAAAGCGCACGCAGGGCTGACACCTCGCGTCGGGGATGCCGGGCGTGATAGGGCAGCTTCCTACCCGCGAGTAAACTCGGCATCTGCGGATATATCCCGCGAGAGAGGAATGAGCGCATGAGAGCCCATAAGGCCGTTGGCATCGGCCGTGCAATGATTTTGGTATCAAGTTTGAGGAGGTTCTGGTCATGGGGAAGCGTACGCGCTTGAATGAAGCGTTGTCTGCGTGCTAGCATCTAGTGAAGTACAGTCAAGTGCTACCCTCCAAATCCTGCTTCGCACCGAGGCTCGCCGCCGTTTTGAGTGCAACCCTCTACCGCCGGTTTGCCACTGCTCTAATACGATCTCCGTTCCAGATGGGGATCATATCGGCCTGGGAGTGAGATTGAGTGACATTGTTGTCTCTGAATAGTATAGTAGGTACATGAACATCATTTTTGCGGCTCATAATTCAGCAGATGCTGATCATTACCCCTGGATCCTTTTTATATCTGGTATAGTTGCCCTGGACATCATCTGACAACTCAAAATCCATCGATGCCACATGTCACTCCCAGCATGGGGTTCTTGGTTCAGTGATACCTTATTCGAAGTTTGGTTTGAACCCTTGCTCCTTTCACTTGCACAAAGGTAGAACGTTTCAATCGATTTTCGCTTCAGCTAGCCTTCTAAAGGGCGTCAAGTTGTTCGCGAGGCGAACGTTGGGAGGCAAATTCTTGGTTTTACGACCAGAAAGCTTCTTTCGGGCTACCATGACTGGAGCTGACGATTTCGTAACGAGGTAGTTTGAAAAGGAGCCGAGAAGGACGCTGTGTACCAGAATTAGCCACGTCCACATCCGATAGACGGGGGGCTTTCCGGCTTACCCCTTAAGAGCACTGCGTCCACGAGAACCAATGATGACAAGCGTGGGCCTGAGCCCATCAATCTACAAACTCGTGAGCCTCATGAAAAGAGTTCGCTCGAAAGGGGTATATGACGTACAGCTTCAGTGACCATGTACTTCGGACTCTTGCAGTGAATGACTTCGATGGCGACCCTAACCTGCAGCTTCGTCTTTCTCAAAAACCTGAGACAGGTCTCTGACAGCGTTTCAATAGCATGCGCTCGTTCTTGGTCGGCGTTGGATTTGGATCTGGATCTTGAATCTATCGATACCACTGCACTAGACTTTCGTGACCCCGGACGGAGAGTCGCCTTGGATAAGATTAGAGGCCCCTTTTGAGACGCCACAGTCATCTTCTCCATCACTGCTGTAGTTTCTTGCATTGCTTTAGCGCCCTCACCAATAGGGAGACTGTCTCCCGTTTTACCAGTGCCGACCTCCTCATCAACGGCGTACACTGCAAGAAGCGTGTCGCCATCACGCAAGACTGTCCCGATCGTCCACTCCAAAGCGTAGGCAGCTTCACTGCTCAAATCCGTAGCTACAAGGTAGGTGCGCAGTCGCCTTGTCCCTTCTTCAGCTTCTCTCTGCATCTGTGCAAAATCACCTCTGATGATCGTCTGAATGACTCGATGAGGGACCGAACTATCGATAGGAGAGGAGTTGATGTTCAATTTCTGAGCCCGGCGAATGTCGTTGAGCTCTTCCGAGTCCGATGTGCTAGGGCTTGGACCTCGACTGACGTTCCGATCGTAGTTGGTATTAGGACGCACGATAAATCTCTTGGATGTTGACACTGGCTTTTCGCCTTCGGGACCCGTGACAGTCACAGTTGGTCGCTCTCCATCTGATGCTGGAAGTGGGCTTCCCGGCGCTGTCCGTTCGCTGTCCTTGATATCCCTCTTCCTGCCTCTGGGCTTTGCCGAGCCTGAAGCCTCATCTCCAGAGCTCCAAGCCAGTGGGTCATCATCACTACTCTCGATTGCAGCTTCTCTATCGGGGTCGTCCAGATAGTAATCCTTCTTCAATCGCCCCACTTCAGCAGAGGATAACACGTCGCTGCTGGGTGACAAGCGTCTCTGACTCTGACTCAACCGAGAAGATGGAGACTTCGAACTCGTCTTGAGGATACCGGTGGTCGAGTTGTGCCTCCTCCCGTTCTTTCGCAATGGCCCAAAAGATAGGCCTCGTCTGATGGCTTCGTGGGGCTCGATACTCGTTTTTCTTCGCCCTTCTGAAAAGCCTCCACTTTGTGCACGCTGGTCCTTGTGATGGCCTGAGCTCTCGGGCCTTGCTTGTTGTCCTTCCTCATTCGAAAGCTTCGACATGGTATTGAACATGGGTTTTATGGTGTCAAGATTGGAGGCTTGCACTCTTGTCGGCAGTCCCATTGTACCCTCGTCTCTTTTGGCTTCCTGTTGAGTGATAGCCTCTTGTGAAGCATCTAGGGCAACGGTAGCCGTAGCCTGTGTATCCATCGTTGTTGGAGTTTGTGACCAGCTCTCGAAGATGTTGAAGAGGCCAGCTCTTTGTCAAAGCTGCGGGTAGGACAGAGGTGCGAAGTCCATTTGTTAGTGTTTTGGTGCTTGTTTGCCTTGCTTATCAGTAGTTAGCTCGGTGTCTTCTCCTGCGAATTCGGACACAGTGAATCTAATCAAGGCAAATGCTGAGATGGGCGCGGATGCCCCCGTATGCTAGCACGTCCACAGAACAACATTGTCTCGAGTCGTAGCATTGTATGAGTAACAAGGATCGGCTGCTTGCTGCCTAGGCCAATCTTCCCGAGTATGCAGGCGAGGATGAGCTTCTTCAGGGTGGTCGCAACATCTTTAAACAGCCTCCTTTCTCATTGCAGGTTGGAAGATACATTCTCATCATGTCTCGTCCTGTGCTTTTCGCCTCGCTGTCCCAACTTAACTTTACCCCTCGTTGCTCCTTCCTACTTTAATTTTAGCAAGCGGCCGGCATGAACCTTAAATTCGATGACATCGAGGGTGCATTACACATCGAGACATCACAAACGCTGTGTCTCGATATCACTGTCATGTAACTATGAAGAGGCCCAGTATCCTCAATCCCTAGATGTAGAAGAGAAACGTAAACACAAATCTGACCCGGTCTTCTGCTCAGCCCATCGCCACTCTCTCTGGAACCGCTTCAGCTTTATTACCCTCCCACGTCCGCATACAAGTAGCTCCTCCCTCGCCTTCCTCTGGAAACCTAAATTCTCTCACCACTTGCTGATCATCACAGCCCACTGTATAGCAACATGTCAACTCAATACGACACCATCCAAGCGCCCTACGACGAGATCCGCAAAAGTTCCAATGCCCTTATCGAGCGCGCTAACGTACAAGAAGCCGTCGCACCATTCATCAAAAATGCACGTGTCCTCGATCTCGCGTGCGGGTCCGGCTTCTACTCGTATCACTTCTTAAAATGGGGAGCCAGAAAAGTTGTCGGCGTAGATATTTCCCCAGTGATGATCGAGGAGGCACGCACTGCCAGCTTTCAAATTCCCTCGAATGGCGGAACGATCGATTTCAAGGTAGCCGATTGCTCCAAACCAGTGCCATATGAAGGCGATCCTTTTGACGTCGTTTTCGGCGCCTGGTTGCTGAACTACGCTCCCAGCGGTAAGGATATGGTGGACATGTGTCGCAACGTTGCACTCAATCTCAAAGACGGCGGACACTTCGTCGCCGTGACGGTGCCGCCAACGCAAGACCCTGCAGCGTTCGTCGAGGCTGAGGGCAAGGTTAGACCGAGTGAATCCGGTGGGTCAGGTGGCTTGTTCTGTAGTGTTACAGGAGTGGTGGGGGATGGAATCACCATCCACGTGCACGCGGACACGAGACAGGGAGATGTGGATTTCGATTGTTATCATTTGAGGAAGGGGGTTTATGAGGCTTCCGCGAGAGAAGGGGGGCTTCGCGGTGAGTTGGCGTGGAGAGTGACTGCCGTACCTGATGAATTCTTCAAGGATCACAAAGGTGGTGCTAGTGTCGAAGAGCTTGATAGTTACAAGGTGACCCCACATTTTGGAATCTTAGTGGTGGTAAAGTAGATGATGAACAGCGTATCACGCATCTCGATAGGGGCTTTCACACCGAAATAACACTGGTTCCAGTGGGTCGACTAGGGTTTCATGCAGCATTCCACTACAGTAACATGTCCGAGTAATGGACTCTACACTCACTTCCCATGCGAACTCTCAAACTGGGTTAAAAGAGAAGAAATCTATGGCGGCCTCGTTGTCGTTGCCTTCACTGTATAATCGAGAAAGAGTTGCTTGATAGGCGGCTGCTGGATCTTCGCCTTGAAATGGTCCATTTTTTGTCAGGAGCAGAAGTACCGAAGATTTCTCAAATAATCTGGACGAACCCAGAGACTCAAAAAGTGAGAGAGACTTCTGTATCTGATTCTAAATTGAACCGTCATTTCCTGTTCTTTATCTTTGGGGAGATGGACTAATCTGTAAGAAACACACCCTACTGCATCCAAGGCCTCCTGCAGACACTGATCTTAGCCACTCAAAGATGCACAATAGACGAGAGGCTGGACATTTGTCGTGATAGTTGACCCACTAATTGCACACGCAGCGCCTGCCGTCGGATTGAAGACATGGTACTCCTTCCATTAAGACCAAGCAGAGGCTTCTTAATGCCTAAAGTGAATTTGCACGAAAGAAGAACATCCTTGAAGTTGGGCGGGTAGTCTGGTAAGAACTAGCGATCGGTGTTATCGTTGTAGTTCCAACGTATTGGTACAACGTTGGCACGCATGAGTGCATTGCTTGCTTGCTAACTACTGGAAGGTATCACATGGTCCGGATGCATTGCCAAGCGCGAACGCATGACCAAAGCCTTGGGTCATTAGGTAACCTACAATTTTGAGAATTCCAGTTCTCGTGGTAAAAGATCGGCAATTCTATTACAGAGATATTCGAAACCTGCCCAAGGCTAATGGCTGAAAGGCACGGCGTCCCGGGGGCAAAAGCACGTATTTGAAGGTAGAGATAAGGTCGAAAACCGTCGGATAGCACGTGAATACACTCTGGACTCATACATTTCGGACTCCACGGATGGGTCGAACTGAGACTTCGGTTTCTGTGATATTGCTGTGAGGTCATCTGAAGTATTTTGTACCAGAGGACTAATTGTAGATGTATCATCACTGGACTCTGACGAAATCAGAGTTGCCGTAGCGGTGCATCGATCGGTTCCTGTGATGCCGGCCTCCATACTGGCCAGTCTTCGAGACACGTCCTCGCTGCACCCCAGGATACGGCCGACAGCGGTAGCAAGGCTCCGCACCGAAGCCTGTGTTTCCTTCAAAGATGTGCTGAATTCAAACTTGACATCAGCTGCCTCGATCGACATACCAAGTCTCATTGTGCATTACTCGAAAAGTAAAGATTGTCAGTATCAATTTCAAAGAACTCTTGGAAGTCCGGACACGAGTTTAGATTTCGTTGCTCTTTTTCTCGCTTCTCACCCAACGCGGCCTAATGCTCGTAGACACCGGTTTGTCGAGTTTGAAAGAATCGAGTATTTGGTGCAGCTCGGACATATTCAATACCAAAGGAGTGGTGATGGCTATAAATTTGCTCCACGCATATTACATCTCTGCGTACTCTGGGAGCATCCTTCGTCCCTAGAACAAACATTCCAAGAGGAGTAAGGCAGAAGGTCAGGTCTGAGAGCTCTATGAGGACGCTGCGCATTGAGTGCGGTGCGTCTCTTTCCTTTCCGATGAACTCTGTCACCGCCGCTGTGATCTTGGCTGCCACTGCCAGGATGCCCGTGATGATCTATGTTGAGGGATGGTGGCGAGCATAGTGAAGCCTTGAGTGTAGGACTTTGGAGAATCACAGCCTTGCTGCACGTTGGAGTCTGCGGCCGCCATAGCGTGGGGCTAATGCAGGATGGAGTCGAGAACCTAATCTTCATTGGCTGGGTCCTAAGCAAACGATACATTTCAGGGATTTTTTAACTTTGTACATCGTATTTTTACAGTGAAAGAACGGGACGAAGCTGAACAGCAACTGGTAAGCTGTGATACGACTTGAGAGTGACATAGGGGCAATATGTACGATGACTTTGGATATATAGTTATCTTCTCCTGTTACCAAACGACAGATTGGCTCGAGCTGCAGTACCCAGTTTGTGAACCCCACCCCTTCTATCCCAGACAGTACTCTTCCCTTCAACTATAGCAATCAATTCGTCCGCAATTTTGTGAGCAAACATTGCTCTGCCGCTGCCTTTTGTACGTTTCTTGATTGCAGCATCTAGAATCCACATCACAGCTGTCCGTCGCCGCTGCCGTAAGCCTAGAGGTATCGGTATCTGCAACGCTACACCACCACCTGCCGCGCCTTTTTGTGATCTTATCCGGAGAAGAGGCGCCACAGAATCGATAGCAAGTGTGAGGTAGAGTATGGGGTTGAGAGGAAGGTGGTTGGTGGGAGGAGCGCCAAGTATTAGAGGATGTCGAGGGTCTGGAGTAGGTGGGGGAGCCGTTCGTAGACGTTCGAGTATCATAGCCATGTTCTAGCGATAGCTTCGAGTTAGCACCCTAATTTAACGTGATGTGATTGTGAGCCCAGCGGGCTTGTAATGAACAGAAGAACTGACGGGCGTACCCTCTGAGCTTTACTCAGCTTGCCGTCTTGCATAAGGAGATTTGTAACCTGATGGATAACCGGGTCATAGCGATGCTTGAGATGGGAAGTGCTCGGCAAAGGCAGCTCTGGTAGGCCGAAAATGTGACCCTGGTTTTGGACCTCTGCAGACTCGGGGTCGATCATGGCTTGAGCTCGCCGCGGAGTTGAGGTCGAATACGATCTGCTTCCCTTAGGTGACGACGCTTTGAGTTCTTCCTGCAACACTTTGGGTGCCTTCTCTTGGCTTTTTTGATCGCGTTTCAGGATCTATTGTCGTCTTTGTCAGCTGATGTCGTGTTGACGATGGTATTCATGAGGGCACGTACCTCTTGTACTGGTGAACCCTGTTCCACATCTGGTCCCCCTTCGCCAGTAATATCACCAGTAGCTGCTGCCTCCTCGCTTACGTGCGGGAGTTGATCTTGATTGGGTCCTTTCGGTTGTTCTGATTCAGGCAGAGGTTTCTCGTCTGAGGTGATGTTTCTTCTTTGCTGTAGTCGAAGACACAAGGGTATTCGGTGGGCGGAGAACTCTAGGACCTTGGGCCGCACATCAATTGACCGGCCAGAGCGGAGTAGCTGGATTCCTGGGCGCATCTTGGCTTTCAAACGTAGATGATCGTTGGCGAGCAAAGGCCAGCCTCCAAGCCTCCAAGCTGCAAATGTTCGATCTCGCCAAGCTTGATTAGTCAGCGGTTTCTGGATCTACACTGCAGAAGAAGGGAAAGAGACTTTGACGCCTATGAGGCTTTCTTAATCTACGATATGGTCACTCTGGTCTCGAATAGTGAATTTTAATAAGACGGCAAAATGTTCTTCGTTGGATCTATCTAAGATTGATGGAGAAGAGAACTGAAAACATAAAAAGTACGCTATCACAATATGGGCCTAGAGCCGGCAAATTGCTTTTCACAAAGCAAAGCGGAGATGCTCTATTGCCTCGAGTGTACTTTTTCCTTCTCGTATCAATTTGTACCTGATAATACCATTATCATAGTCCGTGAGTCTTATTTGACCATTTGGTAGCGTGTTAATTCTATCGTGGAGTGCCTTTCTCCTTGAACGATTCGGTTCGGCGGGCTCCGACGAGTCTGATGGCCTAAGCTAAAGACTTTAGTATCTTTACCGTCCTCTTCCTGATCTTGTATCTGACAATCTCGGGACTCTCATTTCTTCTTCTCTGCTGATTGTAATCGAGGACGATATCTGATGCGTTACGCTTCCTTGAGATTATACTCTTACCCGGTCTAGGACTCGTCTCCTTTGATTGAAGCACCTAGAATTTCTACCCAGGATGGCTCCAGGAATCATTGAACCTCAGCCTGCCGTCTCCATCGCGAGATCACACTCACTGCAAGCAGTCACAGAGCCATATGATGATATCCTACGGTTCTATCTGAACGGAACCAAAGTTGTAATCGATTCTGTCTCCATTGATCCTGAAATTACTCTACTGGAGTATCTAAGAGGGATAGGCCTAACAGGCACGAAACTTGGATGCGCTGAAGGAGGCTGTGGCGCTTGCACTGTCGTGGTCTCTCAGTTGAATCCCACAACCAAGAAGCTCTATCATGCATCCGTCAATGCGTGCTTGGCGCCTCTTGTTAGCGTGGATGGCAAACATGTCATCACAGTGGAAGGCATCGGTAATGTCAAGAACCCGCATCCAGCCCAAGAACGGATAGCAATGGGCAGTGGCAGCCAATGTGGCTTTTGTACACCTGGCATAGTCATGAGCTTGTACGCTTTGCTGAGAAACGAATCAGACCCTTCAGAGCTCGAAGTTGAAGAAGCCTTTGATGGCAATCTCTGTCGTTGTACAGGCTACCGACCTATCTTGGATGCTGCGCAAACATTCAGCAAGAACAAGGCTTGTGGCAAAGCAACAGCCAACGGCGGTGGTGGCTGTTGTATGGAGAATGGCAACGGAGATGCGGCAAACCGATGTTGCATGGAGAAGACAAACGGTGTGAATGGAGATCAGCCGATCAAAAGGTTCACACCGCCAGGATTCATTGAATACAACCCAGACACTCAGCTCATATTTCCTCCTGCCTTGACGAAACATCAATTCAAGCCTTTAGCATTTGGAAACAAGCGTAAAAAATGGTACCGGCCGGTCACTCTGAATCAGTTGCTCGAGATCAAGAGCGTGTACCCTTCAGCTAAGATCATTGGAGGCAGCACCGAGACGCAGATCGAGATCAAATTCAAGGCTATGCAATACACTGCTTCGGTCTACGTTGGTGACATCGCCGAGCTTCGCCAGTACAGCTTTAAGGACGACCATCTCGAGATTGGTGGTAATGTTGTGCTGACGGATCTCGAGGACATTTGCTTGAAGGCAGTTGAACACTACGGTGCCCTCAAGGGGCAACCCTTCATGGCAATTCACAAGCAGATCCGATATTTTGCAGGGAGACAGATCCGGAATGTTGGTACACCGGCTGGCAATCTAGCCACCGCTTCTCCAATCTCGGACCTGAATCCTGTATTTGTGGCAACTAACACCGTGCTTGTTGCCAAATCACTCGATAAAGAGACAGAAATCCCAATGTCACAATTCTTTAAGGGGTACAGAACTACAGCGCTGGCACCAGATGCAATCATTACAAGCCTGCGAATCCCTGTTGCGCGGGAGAAAGGAGAGTATCTTCGAGCGTACAAGCAAGCTAAACGCAAAGACGATGACATAGCTATTGTCAACGCTGCTCTGCGCGTCTCGCTGAGCAACGACCATGTCGTGGAGAGTGTAGACCTTGTGTATGGAGGCATGGCTGCCACTACTGTCGCTGCTCGAGAAGCGGTCTCTTACCTGGAAGGAAAGACATGGACTGATCCTGCAACACTCGAGGGGGCTATGAACGCTCTGGAGAACGACTTTGATCTTCGCTTTGGAGTGCCTGGGGGGATGGCGACCTACCGCAAGTCACTCGCGCTTGGGTTCTTCTATAGATTCTATAACGAAGTCCTCTCAGGCTTAGGCGTCAAGGCTTCGGAAATTGATCAAGACGTCAGAGGTGAGATTGAACGTGTGATATCAACGGGCAAGAAAGACCATGAAGCTACTCAAGCATATGAGCAGAGCATTCTGGGCAAGGCAAACCCCCACGTTGCCGCTTTGAAGCAATGCACCGGCGAAGCTCAGTATACTGACGACATACCCGTACAAAAGAACGAGCTTTACGGGGTCATGGTCCTGTCGAGTAAGGCCCATGCAAAGATCCTAGACGTTGACTTTGAAGCTGCCATGGATCTGCCCGGCATCGTCGAATGGGTAGATCATCATGACCTGCCGAGCCCTGAGGCCAATTGGTGGGGTGCTCCAGGTATGTGTTTTACGGAACCGTTTTCCCCTTTCTACTTTGCAATTTTCAATCCGCTGGACACGGCAAAAGAGCTGGAGGCGCCATTTCGCTCCGAGACTTTTGTCTTAGATTGCGATCTGGGCTTGAAAACAACTAACTCCTTACGCGTGTAGTCTGCGATGAGGTTTTCTTTGCTGTCGACGAGGTCTTCACCGCAGGACAGCCTATCGGTATGATTCTCGCCGACTCCGCCAAACATGCAGAAGCTGGAGCCAGGGCCGTCAAGGTGCATTATGAAGACCTGCCCGCCATCTTCACAATCGAAGAGGCCATCGCCCAACAAAGCTACTTTCAGCACTATCGGTACATCAACAAGGGGGAAGGCGAAGAAGGTAAATTTGATGATAGCGTTTGGGAAAAGGCAGATCATGTGTTCTCTGGTGTAGTCCGTATGGGCGGACAGGAACACTTTTACCTTGAGACCCAGGCATGCGCCGTCGTGCCAAAACCGGAAGATGGAGAGATGGAGGTTTATAGTAGTACACAGAATCCGACAGAAACGTAAGCTCCCGCTCCCCAATGCCGCCCTCTAATGGCTAACAATCGTACAAGGCAATCCTACATCTCCCAAGTCACCGGCGTCCAAGCGAATAAGATCGTCTCCAAGGTCAAACGCCTTGGTGGAGCATTTGGAGGTAAAGAGACTAGATCTATACAGCTTTCTGGCATCTGTGCTATCGCTGCGAAGAAGACTAAAAGACCTGTGCGATGTATGCTAAACCGCGATGAAGATATGATGACTTCCGGTCAAAGACATCCTTTCCTTGCAAGATGGAAAGTCGCTGTGAACAAGGATGGAAAGCTTCAGGCCCTGGATGCTGATGTCTTCGCAAACGCTGGGTGGACCCAGGACTTGAGTGGTGCGGTCGTTGATCGAGGCCTGTCACACATTGACGGGTGCTATCTCTTTCCCAATATCCACGTCCGTGGTCGCATAGCAAAAACCAATACAGTTTCAAATACCGCTTTCCGCGGATTTGGAGGTCCACAAGGGATGTTCATCGCCGAAACCTACATGGAAGAGATTGCAGACCATCTAAGCATGCCAGTAGAAAAGCTGCGAGAAATTAACATGTACAAGCCGCATGAGATCACTCATTTCAATCAGGAGCTGAAAGACTGGCATGTACCGTTGATGTACCAGCAAATTTTGGATGGAACAGATTATCAGGAGCGGAGAAAAACGGTCGAGCAATTCAACCATGAGCACAAGTGGAAGAAGCGGGGCCTAGCCATCATTCCGACCAAATTTGGGATATCATTCACTGCAATCTTCCTCAACCAAGCCGGAGCCCTAGTGCATCTCTACCATGATGGCTCGGTTCTCGTCGCGCACGGTGGCACGGAAATGGGTCAAGGTCTCCACACAAAGATGACAATGATAGCAGCCCAAGCCCTCGGTGTGCCACTTTCCGACGTCTTCGTGTCCGAGACCGCTACAAATACTGTGGCCAACACCTCTTCAACCGCTGCCTCTGCTTCAAGCGATTTGAACGGCTACGCCATCTTCAATGCCTGCGAACAGCTCAACGAACGGCTCCAACCTTATAGGGAGAAGCTTGGCAAAGATGCACTAATGAAGGACCTTGTCCATGCTGCGTACTTCGACCGTGTCAATCTCTCTGCCAACGGCTTCTACAAGACGCCTGATATCGGATATACATGGGGTCCAAATACGGGGCAGATGTTCTACTACTTCACTCAAGGTGTTACTGCCGCTGAAGTGGAGATTGATACTCTCACTGGCGACTGGACTTGCTTGCGTGCAGACATCAAAATGGACGTCGGCCGGTCCATCAACCCTGCGATTGACTACGGCCAAATCGAAGGAGCATTCGTCCAAGGTCAAGGCCTCTTCACGACGGAAGAAAGCCTGTGGCATCGTGCATCTGGCCAGCTTTTCACTCGAGGGCCGGGCACGTACAAGATCCCGGGCTTCAGAGACATCCCCCAGGTCTTCAACGTCAGTCTGCTCAAGGACGTGGAGTGGGAGAACCTGCGCACCATTCAGAGATCGAGAGGTGTGGGCGAACCGCCACTGTTCATGGGCAGCAGTGTCTTCTTCGCCATCAGGGACGCGTTGAGGGCCGCCAGGAAGCAGTACGGCGTCGAGGACGTCTTGCAGCTGCAGAGTCCAGCGACGCCGGAGAGGATCAGGATCAGCTGCGCCGATCCGATCATCACGAGAGCGCTCGTGGAGCCGAAGGAGGGGGAGAAGAGTTTCTTCATTTCCATTTGAGAGGGTCCTAACGCTTATGTATGGGACGAGCATGATTGTACGAACGTTATGATGGTTGCGCGGGCGATGGTCTTCCGAAGTGGTCATGACACGGCCGGATTTGATATAAGGTGCGGAATGCGGGCGTCAAGCCCGAATGATCAGAGTAGCTATCTATGACCCTTTTCCTATATCTATCTCTACCTCAAAGTGCGGTGCTACATCCCAAAACCCCACTTGCAATCACGATTCAAGACCGGTATCCCGTAATGGCTGTTCGCATATCCCTCGTCCCTATATGAAAACGTACTGAAGAAAGGACACAATGGCTGCGTTGGACTGGGGAAAAACCGCGCGTCCTCATACCTCTGCTCTCCTTTTAGCCAGCTACTCGTCCAAGCATGCTAACCTTACCACCCAATCCGCCCACGACACCCGCCTCATTGGTCCGAACAGGCTACCTCACACCCCATTCATTCCCGCCATGCGTGAAATCAGCGCGCCGCACTTGTTCGGAATAGTCATTGACGGTTTGAATCAGAACGAGCAGGAACCGATTTCCACTTTGGCTCAACGATTCACGTCGTTCCGGCATTGCGCTCTACGTCTCGAAGTTGCCCGGTGGCGGGATGGGGTATCGAAGTTTCTTTCGTGGGGGGGTTTGGGTGGGGTGGGTGGGGGCTTTGGGACGCTTTGGGTCTGGGTTGAGCTTTTGGCTTGGTGAGATGGATGGGGGGTTGGGTTCGGTTGTGGGGCTGGATGTTTGTCTGGGCGGCGTGTTCTGAACTGTTTGGTTTTTTTGGGAGGCAGGGGCGAGGAGGAGATTTGTTGCATTGGGGGGTGAGTGGTTGGTTTAATGCTTGTGCATGAGTGCTCGCTAGATGATGCTTGTGTTTTGTTTCCCCTTTTGATTTTCGAATCGAAGGTATTTCGCTGGAAGGTGGCATTGTCGTGGCTATTTTTCGTTTTCGTTCTTCTTCGACTCTAGCTGGAATTGCTCGTTTTTATGTTCTCTGTGCGTGTTTTCTTGGTTGCATAAAGGGCGGTTGGACTGCGACGATTTTAGCATGCTTGTACAGTATCCCATATCCTTAGTCGAGCGATTCAAACAGTGCTTGGTCAAATCAAACGCAGTAGCAGAGGGGTATTTGCACAAAACAAACTACTTTGCCGAAACGCCTACCCGTCCAAACCCACAAGCCACCAGCAATGCAAACTCATGCTCCAGAAACCTCAGACTTTGGTCTCCTCGCTTTTTCAACATCTCGCCGACGTTTCCTATGCTCACCATCTGCCTGTCGCCCCAACGGTCCGGCCTCGCCCTCTCTCCGTCCTTGGCCTTCTTCCCTCCTCTTCCTCTCAGCTCTCCGCTTCTCTTTCTCGGCGACAGCGCGTTTCCCATCATCCTCCTCCCTCAGCTTCCTCTTCTTCCGCTCCTCTCTCGCCTGCTTCTCACGGTCTAAACCCTCCGCCTTCCTCCTTGCTCGCTTCTCCTCCTCCTCACTGACTACCCACGGTTGACTGAGTATCTCCTTTCGGAAAGCGGTATTTTCGGCCCAGGCAGCGGCTTCTTCGTTTGTAGTCCGGATGATGGCTGCGGGAACAAGATATAGAGTCAGTCCTCGTCGCGGCTCAAGGGGGGCCTGCAGACCTACATATCCGCTCAAGCAGCATCTGCCTCACCTCCCTGAACGACCCCATGCCCCCTTTCACTTTGACCACAGTCCCAATATCCACCCCGCTCAGATCGACATCGCGACCGGTAGCCGTGACACCCTTATCAAAAGCATCAAGCCTGCCCAGGCCCGCCGAGCCCTCCGCTAGCGACGTAGAATTCGCATTTGGTGCCGTCGGTGTCGGTGCAGGTCTTCCGCAAGTTATTTCAATCGTAGCACCACTGCTATCGTCAAGCAGCGCGATCCAGCGCGTAGGATAGAGGTCTACGGCGACGATGACGCCGACGAGGCGGATCCATTTGATGGGGTGGTTGAGGTGGAAGAAGAGATTTTGGCCTGAAAATGTGGGGGAGGAAACGTCAGTCAGTCTGCACCATGCATGATGGATGACGGATGCTCGACGATTTGCATCCCCCAAAGCATAACGTCAGATGTAAGTAGCGGGACGTACCTTCGAAGCCCGTCCGCTCGCGGAGGGCGTGGACATCGGCGGCGGTCAGCCTGGCCCAGGTGTTGTGGGTTGGTGAGAGGGAGAAGCAATAGGCGGGGTAGAATGTCAGAGGGGCGGGAAGAGGGTTGGGCATGGCATTTTGGGTAGAAGTGGATGCCTTGACATATCTCCTGGTGAGAGTAAGTAGCTTTGCGTTGGTAGTCTGGAATACGCGACGCAGAAGAGTTTGGGCCCCCGAGGGCTTCGGGGCCTCACTTATCCGTTTCGAACCCCGGATGAAATGAGATTTAGCGAGACCGCTTAGGGGGCTTACCAGGGGCACCCCCGCCGAATTGTGATCACGCTAAGAGGTTTGACCCCCGAACTTTTATATGACCCTGGAAGTGGAGCCCTACCCGAGAATCATCAAAATCAATACGGACCGGTACCAATGTTACTTTCCTTGCATTTCCTTTCTCTGCATCAATATCAATGGCGCGCCGCTGCAGACCATCTGCCACGACTACCTATTCTACGAATACCATGTCAGCTGAGCTTTCCTTTTCAGTTGGTGGTGTGGGGTTGTAGTGCATGGCTCCATATGCAAGAAGAATTAGAAATCACGTTGAATCCGCCAGTCATGTTTGAGTCATCCACGATGCATTGCTGCATGAAATCTAGAGCGTACGCCGCCACTGACATCACATGTATCCTTGATAAAGTCGTAATTGCTCTGGGGTTGATGAATGTGCCCATTCGAACTGGACTCTTTAAACGAAGCCAATCAATCGTGAGCTTCACCCTTGTTGCACACTTGCATACATGGCTGAGAGCATCTGCTCAGCCAGGAGAAGCTCAAGTACGCTGCCTCTAGCCTTGGGAAAACCTTGCATTTCAGAGCCGCCAAGCCCATGAGATCCACATTGTCTATCATTCGCAGATTTCACGTCTTCTTCTCTCATCATCACTGGACGACATACGAGTAACATTGTCCCACCCCGATCTTATACAGAGTCACCACTTTGAAACTCAATGACTGCAAAGCAAACGGGAACAAAGACTCTCGGTGCTGCTTTTCTTATCGGTGGATGCGGATGCTTAGGGATTTCTCTTCATCCGTGTTGAGAAGTAGGATGATTATATGATACTGAAACAGGTTATCAGGTTACCATATCATCCGGGCTTTGCTCAAAGATCCAACATGCCGGCCAATATATGCTTTGAGCCGCACGCCAGACTCCAACCTTCGAGACGGCGTTTCCTACCACGCTGGCAACATTACCAACGCAACAGCGCTCCATGCACTGCTTCAAGAAATCAAGCCGCAGGTTATCTTTCTCACCGCCTCTTCGAAATCGTCTGACTTCACCGTAAAAGGCCAGGACTACCTTGATATTCATGTGGCAAGCACAAAAAACTTGCTTGCGGCCGGAAGGATGGCTTCTTCAGTCAAGGCTTTGGTCTTCTCTTCATCAGTTATGGTCTTCGCAGGTGAGGAGCACATTGACCTCAATGAGACTCTGACTCTTTGGGAACCGCATTCCAAAGGCACACCCTATGATCTATCCAAAGCTGCCACCGAAAAGCTCGTCCACGAGGCCAATTGTGAAGACCTCCGCACTGTGACTAATCGTCCACGCCTCATGTGTGGCGAGCAAGATACTTCATTCGTTCCTGGATTGATTGGAGTTCGTCCAAATGTGCAACTTGGCGATAAAACGAACTTTATTGACACTGTGTCCGTCGGTAACGCCGCGAAAGCTCAACTTCTTGCAGTGACAGTCCTCCTGAGTCCAGACCGACAGCATCCAGGGTGGATGGAGAAGCCTTCAGTATCACAGACGGAAACCCTGTTTCGTTCTGGGTCCTTTCCCGACTGATCTGGCGCACCGCAGGAGATATCACACCCCTCAAAAATGTTACCGTCACTCCTGTTTGGCTTGCCCTGGCTTTGGCGAGCACAGCACAGTGGGCATTCTTCATCCTTACCCTAGGCCAAAAGAAGCCCAAGACATTGAACAAGCTCGTTGTTTCGCGTCGTGTGCGAACGCACACCTACAACATCGACAAGGCAAGGCAAGCGCTAGGCTACAATCCTGTGCCCGAACTGGAGAATGGGAATAAGCGCTCGGTAGAGTGGAAGAAGCTGAAGCGTGAGGAGAAGAAGACGGACCTTAAGACGAATTGATACAGTATGGTAGGCAATGTGTCAAATGTGGATGGTCGATGCTTGAAGTCAAACCTTACTGTTGGGAATGCCCAGCCTGCAATATCTCATTTCGCGTTCCCTACCTCAAGTCTGGGCCCGAAGCTGACGTCAGGTCATTCGACGTTGCTACATCAAGCTTTCTACATCTCCTAGTCATGACCTCGCAATATTCAATGATTTGGAACAGTTTCGAGATTATCAGCAAAATGCTTTTGGACTATCGTGGGAGTCTCTTCGGTTCAACGCTCGAGGGATAAATGCTATTCAAAAAGCTCGATCTGTAAGCCTTCCCTTCTGACCTCGGTTTTCAGGCGATGGGTAAAAGAACAGAAAAAGCCGAGGCAGGAGACTCGTGGGAGGAAATGTCTCTGAGAATATTCTGAGTCATATGACACAGGCTTTAAATTCGGAGCTACCTATAGAGGTATCAGAGAGGCAGGCAGCCTTCAGTAGCAAAACTAAGGAGCCGCATCAGGGTGCACCAAATTTTTGAAGAAATTCAACTGCAGTATTTCAAGCATGTCCGCATTGAAGAGGGGTCGTCAATATATCGTGCCGCTCTTGCTGGTGACTGCGAGCCGTCCAAGGTATCTCGGGTTGCTCGCCCGAGACCGATGATAGCTATGGGCCTTGGGGAAATGCTCTGACAGCCGCAGTTATCTCGGGCTCTCCAATGGTGGTGCAAATACTGCCCGCTTTCGACGCAATCCACTGCTCAAAGATGGCCCGCTCGTTAATACGCTTCGTGCATCTGCGCTCCATGTTCAGATGCTGGTTTTGAAACTTCTCATAGTTACTGCTAAGACAGGGAACTTCTCGGATGCACGATCTAACAAACGGGGCGATGCTCTAAGCTCTGCCTCTTTTTGCAATATCTCTACACGATCGAGTCTCTGCTACCGAATTACTTCTATTCCATAGCGCCATTCCATTTTCCAATCTTGTCGGTTAGCCCTATATTTTCCTTAAAATTCGAAAACAATTTACAAAGTGAGGAAGATATGTTCTATTCCAATTAATGCTATGAAATGTGGGCTTCTCCTATAATAAGAATTTCATCTTGATATAAAGTCTTCGTGCACTTTCTTCTTCGAATCTGTTAGCTTCTCTTAGTTTCATCTACCTTCGTATTTTCTTTCCATGTAATTTTATTAGAATTCGAATGATTTCCCAAATTAGAGTGAGACGAGACTTTCTACCATCGATCGTCTTTCAAAATCTCTACTTCAGAGGAACCCTTCCCCCCCTCATGTACATCAGCGATTCCATGCTCGACGCAGGCCATTCTCAGCCTCCCATCAAAGCGAATAAGTCTTTCCCATCCTTCAAATCTCCCACGAAAAATCTGCACCATCATTTACGCAAAAGTCTTTCTTCTAGACATCCGTCAACGACAAACCCATCACTTGAACCAAACCCCTACACACTCACCCCCATAATCGCAATCATACTCCCCGCAGCTTCGATAAACATGCGATCGACCCCACCGTCATCAATGGCCTAGCCCTCTTCCAGGCCGGTAAGGAAGCAGCAGCAGTACCATTCTTACGGTCGAAATACCTTCTCTTCTCCTTCAACAACTCTCGATAGTACCAGGTACACGCCGTCTGGAGCAACGTTAAATAACGGACGTCAGAAGTCGGCCATGGAAGCCTCGGCTCATTGCGTCTATTCGCAACAGTGGGACTGTGGGTTAGTGGGTCCATTATGAGGCCATAGCGTTGGTGGCTGTTTGATCAGCCGTTCCATCATTATGCGATATGCGATATGCGATAGTAGGGAGACAGGTGGACATGGCGAGTACTATTTGTATGGCCACTGCACCAGTAGTGGGCTCTTCATTCGAATTGTTCTCTTTCAGAGCCATATCATTGTTCTTCTTTTCGTAGTTGAGTCTATACACGTTAGCCTTCATTCAACTACCACAAGCACTATCCAACTACCACAAACACACTCCATACTCTTACATACTTCATAATGGCTCCCGCTGCTGCTACCAGGTCCAAAAAAGCGGCCAAACGAGTCACCCCCGCCTCCAAGGTCACCAAAAAGACCTCGAACGCGGCCAACAAGGCCCCCAAGGCCAAAACACCTCCCCCCCGCGAGGAGATCCTCGTACACAAAACGTCACCGAGTACCATTAGCCCGGACGAGATCGATGAAACGCCCCCGCCTGCTGTCAAAGTAGATCTTCAAGAATTGATAGCCCAGCTATCCAAGGTCCAAGAGGAGCGAAACCATCGCCATCGTCACGACGGCCGGGTTCATAAGTCACGCCGCCACCACCATCGCCACCGCCACAGCCGCAGTCATCGTCATCGTCACTCGGACACATCGGATTCGGACTCATCCGACTCTGAGTCGGACTGGGAGGAAAGAAGAGGGGTCCCTTTTCGTCACTCGGAAGGTAAGAAGCCCTTTCTTAGTATTGCTGAAAGGTTCCGAAGTGTGGACGTCAAGTACTTCAAGCAAATCTTCTTCGGGACCTTCAAGACCAAAAACTTCGCCAAACTGGCCCACATGCATACTACCCCGGCCAAGGAGGATAAGGACGTCAATGGCCATAACCACATGATGCACTGCTTCCATGTGTACTCGGTAGCCGCTGGCCGCTTTGCGCACGTGAGCGTGAAGGAAGACTTGAATGAGGCCCTTCATTCGTATGCTATTCGCCTACTACGGCTGCCCATCACCTACAGATTTGACTCCATCCTCGCTTACCACCTCGCCTTTGTTACTGCACGCATTCAGGGTGGCCAAGACGACCCTAAGGCCTGGGAAGCGGACGATCAGAGCTGCAGGGACCTTCTCGTGCCCAAATGTGCGAGAATACGGGGATCACGAGCATCCATCGCTGTTGGTCCGCCGGCGCCAGTGGCACTTGGGCACTTCTTCCATCCTCCCTACGCGGATTTTTTTCATGACCGTGCACAGCTGGCTGGCTGGATGTCTATCCGTTGGCGAGAGAGAGCAGGCGCTCTTCTTGTGATCCGTCACGTGCGGATCGATCGATATCCTGGACTACTCGATTTCGCCAAAGGTTAGTTTAGCGTGCTCGCTATGAGACGGAGCTAGGACCGAGCATGTTTCTGGGAAAGCGATATCGCGTTGGGGGAGAGGCGACGTTGTTGCTGAAGCGTTGAGGGAGGTCCTTGGTAGGCAACCACGCTTTAAATCCTTGCGTAGTCCTTGCGTCTCCCTCCGCACCAAAGACGTCTGTCGCGATGTAGACCACCAGGTGCCATTCACGTGTTAAATCAAATGAAAAATGCCCTGTCTGGTATCACTAGGACCCTCAAAATTAGAACCGCGAAGACGCGGCGGAGGTGGATGGGCAGGACCAGTGCCGAGGTGGATGCTATTCATTCATTCATTCAGGGTGATGACGGGAAAAGGTCAAGGCGGCGATGGGGTACGGGACAGGGAACAAGAAACAGCTAAAGCTGGAATGAAGCTTCCAATGGCTCTCCGCTCGAAGGGTTGTGTTGATCGGTTCGAATGGGGTGAGGCGAGGCGATACTTTCGCAACCTCTGCCTTCACCTAGTCCCTAAACGGGGGGCGTGGATTGGCCCGGATGGAAAACGAAGAGTATTGCTGACTGAAGACGACGGCTGGGTTAGCGAGCGTAGTATTCCCCCGTTCATCTGTAAGACTCCGGGATTCTGTCTCTGTTCTCGTATTCGTCATCGGTGTCACGATTGGAAGACTGGCGCTATGGTTACTGAAAGTTGCGCTGACATTGCACTCGGGGGACCGGATGACGGGATTCCGGGTAAGTCTCGTTGGCCAAGATTTGAGTCAAGGGAGGCAAGTTCGCTTTCTTCCTGAATGTGTCCTATGGCTCTCACTAGGTTAGGGTAGGAGAAGAAAGCACTTGGCTCACGAAGGATGCTTACGTTGATGTGAATTGAGAAGACGTCGAGCAAAAGACAAGAGTAGTGGTGAGAGGGGTTTGACAGAGGGCAGAAGGTACAAACGCAACCAATGCCAAAAGGAGACGCAAAATGAAAAGCTGCATCTTGATCCCGATAATTTCGAGGATCTAATTTGGGCATGCGGTCGCTGGACTCGTTTACGTTTTACAGAGCGGACAGAGAGAGTCTTTTCATCATGATCCACTTTGAAGCCTGGATCAGTAGCACTTTCGGCTTCCGTGATTGACCATCCCTTCCCAAAATCTAAAGCACAAGAGGGCGGACAGGATTCTACTCGCCTTCAAGCCAACTAGCGCTCGTCATAGGACAGGGCTGGAATGCGGCCTCACCATGATAATCTTAGCGCCAAAGATCCATCCTTCCATGGCTTTTAGTAACTCTGACCGGATCTGGAGTTTGCAAGCAGAGATGTGATTCCGGGTCCAAATCGGGTATGAGTGCGGGGAGCAGGTCTCATGGATGGAAGGGGAAGCGTGCGGTCTGCAGTTTTGGCGCATTGGGTGTTGATGCGTTCGGCGATCCCCTTGTTTCCCATCGAGACGCTCCCTGAGGCTCTGATCTTTGATCACCACTGTTCACGAAGCGAATCTCGATGGTTACGAGCGTCGATATCTGTCAGCATGAAGGGTTCTTGCTCTCGCACGCGATTGAAACGCGGTATGTCAAGGACATCTGCCAGCACTGGGGAGATACTCTTGATTGGTTCTCCACCCCCTGCTTCTCCAGCGCCGTGCCATCCAGCACCACGAGCATATCCAGCGCCGTTTTGCTCATCCCGTACGCCCGAGCGTCACGCCCGGAATCGAAACCGTCGCCGGTCTGCCGACGGGGTCATACATAGAGCCGAGCCCGCCGCTGATGCGAAGCAGGTACGGGTTCGCCGAGTCCAGCAACAAGGGGGCGTAAACGCTTCCGCGACGGGGAGCCGCGCCGATGACGTTGGTGTCGAAGGTGCTTTCGAGTTGGGCCCTTGGGAGTCGCGGCTTGCGAGTGTATGCCTGCGTTGTTCACCGGTACGTCCATACGGCCTTGTTCGCTTTCGACCCGCTGGACCGCCGCGGCGACGGATGATGCGTCGGTGACGTCGGGCTGGATGCTGGATGTTGTGCCTTTGATGCCGGACCCTGAGACGGCTGAGCTGGCTGCGTTGCCTTTTTCTATGGAGCGGCTTGCTTTTATGATGTGGTGTTTTGCCGAGGCAGGGTTGATGACTTTGGACGCTGCGTAGCCGATGCCGGAATTGGCACTTGGAACGAGGTATGTAAGTGGAAGGGAGAAGGCCGGGGTAGGGCCCGGGGGGAGGGAAGGTAGATGGGTACCGGTGATCAACACGACGGTTGATGGAGAGGACATTGCAATTGGAACGTGCAGGAGCGTCGTTTTGGTCCAGCAAAGGCTACGGGTGCAGAGGGTTATCGCTCATATGGTCAAGTCTTTTCATTCTGATAACTTCTTGGAAGAGCAACTCGGATTCCCGCTGCTATCGCCGTCAGTCGGGTTAGTGCGGATGCTTCGAAGTAATTTCACCTGCGTCTTTAGTAGCTCGAGGTCCTCTCGTCCTCGCGCGTCAGGTCGTGCCGCCTTCATGTTCGCATGCTTCGTAAGTAGAGACAGAAAACAGAGATTGCTATACGAGGTAAACGAGAACCACGAGTTGGATACTGCGGCTTCAACGACAATTGGGTGAAGGATCATTTCCGTATAAACGTGAGCGCTTTTGCCATTTCTATTGATATTACACAATGCTCGCTAAGGAACAAGACAATGAATACAGAATCACTGGTTGCCCAATTTCGCGTCCTCTTCATCCGACTTTGGCACTCCAACCACCTTCGGCACGGTCACAGCGTTGATCTTGCGGAAAGCCTAGGGGAAGCCGATGTCAGCAGATGTATGTCAAGGCGTGTACTGAATCTCATCGTATCACTGGCGGCAGCACAAACCTGCCACACCCAAGTATTCCAAGTGAAGGACCAACCCCAGAACAGCCACCCTTCGTAATAATGCAACCACCACCAGGGGTTTGCAAGCTGATCGATACTTACATTCATGAGGGAGCTATCAGGGAGCTTGCCATCCCACTTGTCCTCGACCTTTGTGATCTTGCCTGTATCCTTGTCGTGAAAGATGTTGATCTTGCTGTCAATGGTCTGCTCTTTGCCGATGCCCTTTACGACGTAGCGGGTACGTAAATCCATAGTGATGGGGTTGCCGCCGGAGGTGACTTCGTGGTGGAGGCGCTCGATTTCCGAAAAGGCAGCCTGGAGGCCATACCATTGAGCTTCGTATTGCTTGCGACCTTCAGCTATGGTGATAGGGTCTTGGAAGACACCGTTATCATCCCATAATTGAAGCTTCTTCAGCGATGGCCGACCTGCGAACAGCTGGGTATCGTCAGGCTTCCGTGGGACATCTGATGTACAGTAATCGACACTTACGTCTAGCACACTTCCAACAAGCGTCTTCTTGTGCTCATCGAGACTGACGCCGCTGGCAGTCTTGATGTTGGTATTCTCAATGTTCAAGTCGCTTGTACCTGCGGGATTTGTCAGATGAGGATGTTCAGTCGTGGTGAGAATGTAGGTAGCACACCTGAAGACATGTTGCGTGATTGATTGGAAGAGAAAGGATATATTCGGTTGGTGAGTTGACTTGGTAATGTTGAGGCCTTGATGGTTCTCTGAAAAGTGGTTGGAGAGATGGGAAGACGCATAGATGTTGTTTGAAGATTCAAAGAAGAGCTTGGAATAAGATGAGGGAGCTGTTTTGTTATGAGTTGATGGCGACCCGAATCTACGCAACCCATTGCATCATCATTGCGGATGAATACCGTACCGTATTCGTACACTAGAGACGGATGTTCCCGCTGAACGTGTCCCCGATCTGCAAGTACTGTACTGTAGAGAGAGAGATCTAATTCGTAGAGCAAACGAGCTTATTAAGCATTCAAATTCGCTTAGCGGGCTATCCTATGGTCAGCCCTAAGGCAAGGCCTTGAACGCGTTCGCACGTGACCGTCCTTGGCCCTCGATTCTTGGAGGAGAAATCGTTCATGGTTTTTCGTGGCCTGCTGTTGCGACTTCTAGGATCTCCGCTTCGAGGCCGGACACATGAACGTATTCAAGCCCCGCTTCCTCCAGCTTTGCTCTACCAACGTTCCCTCCAACGAACTTCTCCGGCTCCTTCACGCCTACGTAGACGACTTTGATCCCACCAGTCTTCAGGATGGTTTCGGTGCATGGCACGTTTCCACTTGCCCTCTTGTTGCAGGGTTCCATTGTGGTATACAGGACGAGCTTCTGCGCTGCTACTCCAGTCTCCGGCAGTCCACTTGTCTCCATCTTGGCAAGACAGCACTGCTCGGCGTGGGTATTGCCCGGGAGCTCCATGGTGTAGCCAGTGGACAAGATGGCATTTGCGACTTCGTCGACCAGGATCGCTCCGACGCAGAAATTCGTTGGCTTCCGTGGGGCTCTCTTGGCGAGTGAGAGAGCGTAGCGCATGTACGCCAAATGATCGACAGGTGCAATCGATGAGATTTCTGTCATGCTGTCTAGGTGCTAAGTCTCCTGTGCGCTGCTGAATGAACCTTTCCAATGAACCAGGTACTGATGCGGCCGCGATTGTACGTGCAGGACTTTGGGTGCTGACCGTAATATTGCTCACATGAAGATCTGCACGCACCGCTCTGCACGCCAAGACTCCTGCGCCAAGATCTGAGATAAACCCCCGGATCACTCGCGCTCGGCACATTCTTCTCGCCGGAGATAGTAGTGGTGCTGAGCTCGCATTATCAATCATACAAGTGATTCTCAGCGCCCAAAAGTAGCGAGGCGGACAGCCCAACATTTCGATTTCATGGGAATATGGTAGAGCTACCGATGCCAGCGGGACTCGCATTCCAATCTCCTAGTCTGGACAACCAGCAAAACACATTGCCATCTTAGGCGGCAGATCCGACTACGGTATCGTCCCTGATGATCCACCTGACTACGATGCGGACTTTCCTACCAACGATGTATGGTCTTTCAGCCTCCTTGGGCAATCACTACTGCGAAATTTCCATGCTGTACCACCCCTTCGTATGCCCTATGGCTTCAAAGAGCTGGAATGGTATGCCTCCTATATATACGGAAATTGGGAGCAACAACCAAATTGTCGACGGGGAAATGTAGTAGCTCAGCTTGCTGCCAGACAAGGCGTGCCTGTGGTATCGGACGAGTATGAGCTTATGCCACACAGTTGGCCCATGGTGGTCCCGGACCACCCCCATTCTATCGAATGCTATCATCCTTGGGCAGACACGTGCTCACCGTTTGTGCAAGGCGCGCCAGTCACAGCGAAGTGAATATGCCCGGAACTCGGAAGCTTGCCCACACGCTGTCTCCGTGTCGAGAATCTGACGCACCTCACTGAAGAGGAAGTTGAGAGCCTGATGAGGGACAAGCAGAAGATCATACGACATTTTACAGGTCGTCCATCTGTGGAAACCCTGCTCTAGTCATCATTGTTGTCTTTCGCGTGACGATGGAGCATGTTACAAGTCAAATGCTTCCTAGCTCGGTGAATTCGTCTATTGGAGCTAGAACACAGCTAAAAGATTCTCGGCGGCTGGTCCTAGTCATACAAAAATGACTCGGGGGCACTTGAATCATCCAATTCACGGCATACCCAGCCGCGGGCTTTCTTCGAATTGGAAATAAACAAGGCCCCTGCACGGCAAGCCTTGAATACCTCTCATTGTTCATTGGGCTTGAAGCTCGGTAGAACCAATTCGTTTCCTGATATTATGTCGCTTTCGCGCGCATAAAGTGCATCCAGTGCATCTTTGTGAAGCTCTAAAGTTGGGCACCGTTGACCGTCCCTTTGCCAGCGCGCCGCATAGGCTGCAGCAGATTGGTATACAGGATATGCGACTTGGAGACTCGGGTGCCCATTTTGTACGTCCGGTTGGCTTCTTCGATGATTGGCCAGATCCGCTCAGTGAGTTCTTGTTCTGCAGGCGATGAAAGAGGCTGATCACCTGCCCGCTCGATGATGAGTGCTGGTTGAGATCTGCCTGTCCCAGCCATCAACACCGCTCGTACCTCCGAGTGTTGCGATACATGCTGTTCCATGGAGATTGGATTGCACATGTAGCCTTGCTTAAAAAGAATAGTGTCGTCTGCCCTGCCACGGTATGCCCAAAGATCCTTTTTGAGAGGTGAGGCGCCCACAGATCTTTAGTCGGGTACTCTTGGAGATGCGGGAATAGCTTGAAAACTGGCTGTTCGTTTTCCGACACGGTATTTTTGACTATGAAGGCCTCGAATCGTCCGTGCAGTGAAGGTCGGAATTCAATTCCAGCCGCTGGATGAGGGTGAATATATTTCCAGTCCTCAGAAGGGTATTTTCCTGATGGTCGAAGCATGGGCAAGCTGCCTGTCCCAGTCGAGCCGTTGAAGTTGAAGAGCTTGATTTTGGAAGCAGGAGCATAGCCGGGCCATTGCGAAACATCTCCGCCCGCATACGTCACTGCTTCAATGTTGCTTGCGATGAAAACTACCATATCAGGGCTTTTCGCGATCTGTTCCAGAAACGGTGGCGCAAGGATTAGTGCGTCTGCTTTTACGTGTTTGAGACCGTCAACAACCGATCGAGCGGAAGGCATGACTGCTGTCAGTGGTGTGATAACGGTCGTTTGGTTAGCGATTGGGTCGAACAAAGTAGCAAATTGGTTTCCAGCCTGTCCATTATCATAAGTCGAATGCTCTATAGAGGAAAGGGTCGTGGTTCTGAAAGCATGTGGGAAACAATTTCTTGAACACTCACGTGGGAGAATGGCAGCGTGACGAAGAAGCGGTTCGACTGACAAAGCGAGACCTGGGTTTCGAAACCCGGAGGTGGTTCTAATTGGCTCCATTGGATATAACTGGCGGCGAAATCCTGGGAATAGACAATTGGTTTCGGGGACTGCTGTTGTACCTGACGTACGAACGACGACCAGGGGCTCATTCCGTGCCTCCGCAAATATGTTACGGAAATGGTAGTGAGCATAATCAGTGGTAAGTAACTGATCCAGGCGCGGGCTGTCGAGTACTTGAAGTGGACGCACCTTCAAAATGCCTTTCACTGTCAGCGAATGCGGTGCGGGAGGTGTCAGCAAGACTCGAGACCCGGTTGCATCGAATAAGCTGATATGGTCAGCGGCCGTGTTGCGCGGAGACACGAGCAGTAGCCATGAAAGGGTCTTTTGTAAGCACGCTGTTGACTTATCAGGCCGTGCACCGGCCTTACATCCTGCCTTCACAGCACCTAAGATCATCATCACATATCCCCAATTCATTGGGACCAATGTATGCCAAGGTCTGGTGATTTTGACCTTCACCGAGCATCCCTTTCAGTGACCAAGCTTTGCCATTAACAGCGTTGGCAAGTGCGCCGTAAGTGACCTTGCGATAACCATCCCCATAGCTGTCAGAGGATCGAGGAACCTCTGCGCATATCGCCGACGGTCTTGTCTGGGCCATTCCATCGACGATGTTGTTCAGGAGTTGTTTATTCCGGTAAAGAATCGATGGGGGATTCCCCCTCCCTTCGTTCGGAGAACTGCAGTGTAGCCGTGATGTATGAGGTTGAGCTTCGTGAGCGTCAGTGTTGTATTGACGATACATGGTTCAGAGAGCACAAGCAATTCCCGGGAAGAAAAGTATGAGATCGTGTGGACTTGTTGATAAATAACAAGAGATAATGCCATCGAGGTCTACTTTTTACTTGCTTGATGAAAAAAAAATTCGAGCTCAGCTTGTCTGCATGTACTCAGCCGTATCGAAGCCAGTTCAAACAGCGATACTCTACTTTACGCTATCTGTGTAATCTATAAGACGGAAGACCATCCGTTGGTTTTGACGGGACTTCCTTGGCGAATGAGAGAGCGTAGCGTTTGTACGTTGTGGGCATTATGATTTTGGTTAGGGATGACCTTTTGCCGGTAGCTCCCGTGGTTCGAGTGATAGTTAGCATCACCCTAGTTCCAGGGCCAGCAACGTACTGTACGTCAAATGATCGACAGGTGGTAACTTCTGTCATACTGTCTAAGCGTTGAATCTTCTATCCGCGCCTGAATACCCAAAGTAGGGCTTTCCAATGAACCAGGTTGAGTATGCTCGAGGGTCCTGGAAGCGAAACACGCTAAAGCCAGAGTAGCAAGGCTCGTGGGCCAAGACTAAGGCTAGTATAAAACGAGGAAAGCCGTGCGAAGGGCGTTGGCGACGGGGAATTTGACCCCGCATTTGCCTAGAGATTGGAAATTGGAATAATGTTGGCGAGCTGAGTGCCAACATGCTTTACCATACTCTTTATACGCAACAAGGATTTAACATCCAACATCAAATCTCTCGCATCCTTGATATGGAGCCCAACTCTGCATCAAAGGAAGATGCTTCAACTATTCGAGCAGTCGAATCCGGCTTTCGTATTGATGAAGATCTCTCACATCCTCAAGGCGATGTTTTGGCAAAATTGCTTTGAAACGCCGACGATGAAGCCAATTAGCGAGGAAACGGGCGGAGTGCGTGTCACAATTAGACACAACGTTTTCCTGAGCAAATTGCCTTCGGTGCAAGGAGTCCGTCCTGCCCCCACAAGTAGCTGAAGGCGCAGCCGAATCGCAGGTAACCGAGCCGTGCAGTTCGGTGTATATATTTTGTCGTCGCCGTCTGTCAAAAATGGTTCTATATTCTTCGCTACTGTCAGAAAAGTTGTCGCGCCGGTCTTCGCTGAGTGATATCTTCTGTGGTTTATGAACTCTCCGAGCTTCCACGACCATCTTCGGACCTCTTCTCGATCCATCTCTGAGTTACCGGTAAGATGGCGGTCGACTATCGCAGCGGCGTGTCTATCCTCCTCTTGATATTCTACCTCCCAGCGCTCGCGGTTGCAATCCTCCTCACTATCCGCCATGGCTTCAGGAGATCCTCCGGCTGGCGCTTCATGATCATCTTCACCCTAGCTCGCTTCCTCTGCGCATGCTTCCAGCTCGCTACTATCAATCAGCCAAGGAATGCGTCCCTATACGTCGGCTATACCGTCCTCATCGGCATCGCCGTCTCCCCTCTTGAGCTGGTGGCTTTTGGGTAAGTACATTCTTTACAAAGACTTATCCGGTTTCCAAGGAGTGGGAGACGCGTCCGGCGTCGAGAGCGCATTCTACTATACAGACTTATTGATCTCAATCATTGCCCTGAACCAAAATTGCTAAGTCCACTTTCTGTGCAGCCTGTTGAGCCGAATCACAGAGAGCATCAACAAATTCCACCAGACGCTCGTCACCGTGCGACATCTACAGCTTGCCGAACTGCTCAACACTGTGGGTATCATCCTCAGTATCGTCGGTGGCGTGGACTCCGGCAATGATTACCAGAAGACCGGTCGTTACGTTCCGCAGACTCTGACCAAAGTCGGCCTCGGACTCTTTATCGCTTCTTTCGTCGCCATCCTAGCAACCACGGCCATTCTCTCCTCGTCCATCTCGCATGCCGAACCGGGCGAGAAAAGAATCCTGCTCGCCGTGGCGGTGTCGCTGCCGCTGCTCCTCGTCAGACTGATATATTCTTCCGTCTACAATTTCGGGGACGTTTCGAACTTCAGCTCCCTCAGTGGGAGCGTCACCATTTTGCTGTGTATGGCGCTGTTGGAGGAGATCGCCATAGTGCTGATCTATGAGGGTGTTGGCCTGACGCTGAGGAAAATTGGCAAGCAGGACGGTGCCACAGGTGAGCAAAATGGACTCGTTCAGAGGTGCTTGGGCTGATGATTGGCTGGGTGATAGGCCATACTCAGTCGAAATTTACGACGAATGATGTAGAGACCCGCGGCCAGGAACTTGGAAGCATGTGAGGGCGTCCTAGAGGGCGGTAGGCAGTAGTGTCAGGAGGTATGACTCCCCTTTGCGATGACTTTGGGGACACTGAGCAGAACGGTCAACCATTTCGAATGAATTACGGCCTCTCGTGAGTCAAATTAGGCTTGATAATATGCATTATCGAGTTTTTTTTTGGAACCCCCATCTGCATCTTTAGATAGATTTCCGCCACCGTTCACAGGATAATCCATTCTTCCAGAGCACTGCCGACCCAAATGTCATGTCGCGAAAACTTGACTACAACATACATCCATAGACAAACAAAATCATCGCTCCTGGCTCTAATGCTATTCTTCCTCGGACGTTCATCGTGTTTCTCTTTACATCCGTCCCCTACTTCCCTTCTTCACGCTCACCCTTCAATCAAGCAATAGATACGCGTCAAGATCAAAAATGCCCCGCGACATTTCCTCGCCCCTCAAACGGCCCAGCGGGCTGCTTTTCCAAAATTGGTACATAGCGTGTGAAAGTGCTACAGGTTAGCGCCCGCGAACCCTCCAGGATCGATCCGCACCGCAGCTCAGCCTCGACCATCCGTCGGATCGGTTACGTTTCGATACCTCCCGTACCCCTTAGACATCCATAGCAAGCACGGACGCGAACGGGGCGGGAACCGGCCTGCGCGGAGAGAGCCATATCGTGGATGGGGAGCCAGTTACGCTCGACGGGGGTTCGTGGGAGATGGAAGACGGTTTCTCGATGTGTCGGGATACTCGGGCTTACATGACGCTGGGCTTTTTTTTTTTTTTTTTTTTTTGGGGGGGGGGGGGCAGAGAGATGTTATCGGACGGAAGTGGAATTGATCGAAAAGACAACGATTTGCCCAGGAGCCAGAGACGCGCTTCCTTACCTCGAAGAAACTGTATGCGGATGGGTGCACCAACGCGCGCAAGTACCACCGCATGCGAAAAGTACGTCCTTCCTGTGTCATACAGCTTGGACTAAGGAAAACCTTCTCGGGGTGCGGTTTTTTTCCCAGCGACCTGATCCCATCATCGAGACGGCATCGAAAGCGCGCGCGGTCCTCACACGTGGCGAACTGGTGCAACGGCAAGCGGACCCGGTCGAACCACGAGAGCGAGCGGCTTGGACGACACGTGCCACGCCGCTACTTCATCCCCGCCCGAGGACTGCGACTCTCCCGACCGCCGCGTATAGAGCTCTCGACCGCAGTCGAGCAAGCCAACGGATGGATCGTGCGCCGGCGGGGTCCAGGCGCCTTTGATGAGCGTGCGCTCGGGCGCGGTCTTGGCTTCGAGGTTGGTGAGGATTTCGGCGGTTTGCTAATTTGAAACAGGTAGGAAGGAGATGCGGGGAGGAGATATCAAGGGATGGCGCACTCGGTGAGAGGGAGGGGAGGAAGGATGGATTCTGAGATGTTGCACTGAAGGACTTTTGGCTTTTTGCGCGCCTTGGTAAGAGATGGATCTCTAGACGGGTGCGGAGTTTTACGAGTCGTGCTTCTGGTGGCTTTTAGCGACGAGGGTGCACTTGGTGTGGCTTCTGCGTTGGATGAGGTGTTCGGTTGTATTCGTAAAGTGATCGCAGTGGAGTCCGGATTTTCGCTTTCAAAAATGCGTTCGGTCAAAGGCCAACTTTTCTGGGCCACCTGATCGCTCTGTCCTGTGCACGGCCTCTTCTGCCGCCCTTTTGTTTTCTTGAACCGACGCTACGAATCACCACCCGGTCACAGGAAATTTGGAAGGAAGTTACGGCATGTCTGTGGCCGTATGTAAGTGATTGAACATTAGACGCAGTGATATTGCTTCGGCAAAGCAAGCAGGTATCGAATTCTTGTCATCTCACAATACGGAATGAGACACGAGAGAGCAACCCCGAAAGCCGACCCCAAACAACGCTCGCAGTTGGAGAAGCTGTACTGGCCATACCCTCGGTATCCGAGACCCCTGAAATAGCCAACGCTCGGAGAGGAATACTTGGACAGGTGGGCGAATCATGTCAACGCGGAAGTCTCCGATAGGATCTTTTGTGACCCCTGCATGGCTCTTAGATCTGTCGAATAGAACATGCGTTTGGGGCGAGATACGGATGAGTGCGTTACTGTTGCTGGTATTGCGATTCACTGCAGCCTTCGAGAAGATATGTGTCTTTCTGCAGTTGCCGTTATCAAAGACTTGCTTCGCTTTGTTCTCGTGACTAGCCGAGGAGAAATCGAGGCGAGATCGGTGACGGTCGATTCAATAAACGAGTTTGCGGATTGGCTTTGTGCTAGTCTCGCTCAAAAGCTTGGTCATATTTATTTACTACTGCTGTCCATGGTATGAAAGGGTCCCATAACACGAATTTCTGCGACACTTTGAGACTTGCAATCGTGCCCGCCTTGAATGCTTCGAAGAACTGCCTTCATACACCAGAACAGCTGTTATAGCACCGAGGTTTATGACACGGTCCAACAACGCCTCCAGAACACAGGAAAACCGGTCCGTGATCCGTGAACGTCTCTCCCTCCGATCTATCACGAAGTAGATACGAGAGTCACATTGCCGTATGCCAATGCGGACAACGGGTCCTCGGCCCAAACTGAAATCGAGAGATCATCGTCATCACCTTCAAAGTGTGTGTAAGCAACAATCGACCATCGAAGGCCTCTGCTCTGACGTACTAAGACCATGCCAGATCCCTCCCTTCCCCACTGAGATACACACGGCATTGATTGCAATGACAGCCTCCCACAATCTATACCAGCTCCCTTTCCTCACCTGCGTCGATCTCACGTTGATGCGTGCATGACACATCCCGTCTGTACAGCGATCAGGATAGCCTGTCGGTCCAGGTAATCATGGATACTTACCGGGAGACTTCCAATCGAAAGGCGTCTTGTATTGCGGGTGGGTCCAGCTCGACCCAAAGGTACTATTTGTCGCGGTAGCAGGCATACGATCTGCGAGGCTATTGCAGGACTGTAGGAAGCTTGGGGAAAACGTCCCGGTCCCACACTCCGCTTCAGATTTGAACAGCTTTACGGCTACTCCGAGATTGTTGTCTCCTCCTGATCACCTTGTTCAGCATAGTCGCATTACCAGATCTGAAGAACAACACAAAATTTTCCCTAACCAAAATTATTTGCGAACCCTCCAGTCGGCGGAATGCCATCAGAAGCGCAGTGCCGAATGATCCCCAGGGCTGCCAACCCGGCATCCGTTGGCTTCGCTCTCGCAGACATCATGCCTGGTCTGATTCTGGGCTCGATCGCGCAGGTCCCATCCGCTTAGAGTCTTTAGCTTCTCGATTGATGTCGATTGAGATTGCGAAGTACCTACGGCTCAGATACCGCTTCGGAAGGTAGACGTCATACGTGGGATCACGGTCCGTTCTCCTGCGAGGCCCGAAACTCAACTCCCTTTCTATCGCTGGGATCCGTGTCCATGCGTCCAGGCAGCTTCGTGGGTTGAGGTCTCGGCCAAACCGCCTTTCGTCGCACACGCAATTGAATCGGATAGGGGCCGTCAGGTTGATATGTGAAAGGGAAGCCGTATCCCATCGCTCAGGAGGTCTAGGTTGTTGAAGAACAACTAAGGACCCGTTCGTTGTCTGTTGGTTGAGGACTTCGGCCGGCAAAGCTGGAACAGTCGCTGGATTTGCTTGTGCGAGAGACTGTGCAGGCTGTAGCACTGCCGCGGATGAAAAATAGATGCCTGATAGAGCAGTGATCAGGCGCAGAGTAATCATCGTGGGAAATCAACGAATCTTATAGAAGTGTTGATTGGCGAAAGGAAAGGTAAGATGCATACATGGCATTCCTCCTTCGCGAAGCCTTCGAAGCGGATCGCACAGCCCCGCGCGTATATGATGACTCCCTGCAAGGAAAATTCTGCGCCTGAAACAAACATGTTGCAAGAAGGACACCCGGGAGGAAACAACGTTCGCGCTGGCGGCGCGTGACAAGAGCTGATACTTGAGCCTCGCTTCTCGCCCCTACGCTTGATGATTCTGCTTCTGCTTCTTTCGGTAGCGCCGTAGCGGCTCCAATCCAACAGTACTTACAGCACGACCCGACGCTTGTCGCGAAAGATGCTCTGGATCCCCACTGACAAACGCAGAGTATTTCGCGAGTTTATAAAAAAAGACCTTTTAGGTCGCTAAATAAATATATAAATTTTTTATTATAATTAAATAGCTCGTTATTATTATATAAGCTTATTTAAATATATATTCTTCGTTAATAATTATAATATTTATCTTTAGTCGATTATTTTTTAATAATTAAATTTTAGATAATAGCGTATTATATTTAATATTATTAAAAGATTATATAACGAGTTAAATATAATAATTAAATTATAAGTTTAATCGTATTACTATCTAATAAAAATCGAGTATTAAAGTTATTTCTTCTATATATATATCTATTAACTTAAAAATATATTATTTAGAAGTTAAAGAGAGTATAAAATATATATCTTAAATAATTTTAACGCGTTTAACGCGTTTAAAACGAATTTAAGCGAATAAAAAGATTATAAAAGACGCTTAGATACGCGATTTTCTCTTTAATAACGATAGCGAGATATTTTTAAACTATATATATTAATCTCTTTATAGCTTATAAAAATATTCTTTCTTCTAATAAATACGAAGTTTTAAGATATTTAGCGAACTAGTTTTAAAGTAAAGAAAAAAAGTTATATATTTAATATCCGAGTATAAAAGTAGAGAGAAGAATATTTTAATATTTATATATAATCTTAAATTATAAATAACGATATAGACTCTTCTTCGCTTATAAATAAATAAAATTTTAAATATTATATAAGCGTAAAAAAGTTAAGTAATTACGATAATTCTAATAATAATTTATATATTATTAATAATATTAATATCCTCTCTTATACTACTTTAAATTCTAATATTTATTATTTTATCTTTAATATAATAATAGAGATTAGTTATATTATAGTTTACGCCTCGAAATATATAGTTAATATAAAGAATAAGTAATATTATACTCTAATCGTTTTATAAAGTTAGTAATAATAAATAAATCTTAATAAGATTAAAAATAGGCTTAAAAAGAAATAGATATATACGATTCGCTATTTATTTAACGGTAAAGACGCTATTCTAATAGCGAAAATGGGCTTTAAAAAGAGTCTTATTTTTTACTCTTTATTTTTATTAAAACCGGGTAATATAGCGATTCTTATATATCTACTTAATATATTAAAGTTAAATTAGTAATTAAAGATTAATACGTTATTTAATATTAGCGCCTTTATTCTAAATACTTAAATTAATAAGAATAAAAATCTATATAATATCGCTAGTAATATCTATATATATATTCTTATTAATTTTAAGATCTTTATAAATAATAAGAATTTTTATAAAATTATTATAAAGAATATAGAGTTTATCTCGCGACTTAGTCTTATTATTATTAACGAGATATATATAATACGATAATAGGGCGATAGCTTTTATTCTAATTATAGTAAACTTTATAAAATAAGAATATTAACTTTTAATATATTATAATTTAAGATCTTAATTATATTAGACGATTAGATATTAAATATCTATTAACCGCGTATTAGTTTTATAAATAATATACTTATCGAGATTATAAAGATTTCTATTAATCGCGAGAATATTATATTTAGCATTAAGCCTCTATAGTATAAATCGAACTTATTTAAAAATCTTCGTTTTTTAATATAGTTATTAAATTATATATTTATTAAGATAATTTTATATATTAATTATATTATACTCGATTATAATATTATTAATTAGTTAATTTAATAATATCTTAATATAGATTAAATAAAAAGAGAGATAAAAAGACTCTTTTATACTTATAATAGTAAAATAAATAAAGAGAAGTTAAAAATTATAGCTATTGAATTTAAGAGATTAAATTTAATAGTTAGACTTCTTATTATTATAGACGCTTTTAATATAAATATTAATAATCTTAATATATATCTTATTATATAGTAATTATTATCTAAAGATATTTATTCTCTCTTAAGTATATAGTAGCGAGCTAGTTATATAGTTTAAGTATTAAATCTATATAATAACTTTATATAATTTATTAAGAATAATTTAATTAATTTACTATTCGAGAATTTAGCTACTTTTATAATAAATATAAAAAAGAATATAAGCTAGAAAGCGAGTAAATATATTAAAAGAATAGTATATTATTCTTAATCGACCTTAGAGTAATTATATTCGAGAATTCTTTCTAAAATATTTCGACGAGATTAAATTAATTATAGCGATCTATTCTATCGAATACTATAATTACTATAAGAAAATTATATTTATAAAAATCTTAAATATATAATTTAAAGACTCGATAAGTATAAAAAATTATATGTCGAACGCGAGGATAATTAATATATATAAGAGATTACTTAAATAGAATTAAGAGAAATATAAATAAAAATATAGTAAAATTAATATTACTAATATTATCGAGTTAAATATCTTTCTAGATATAAATATCGTATAGAAATAGACTAGATAAGTCGATACTATTATTATTATTAATAACTTCTTAACGTTAATAACGAGATAAGATTTATACTAGATAAATAAGTATAAATTTAAGCTTTATTCTCTTATTAGACGTTAATTTAAAAGAATAATTATAATTAATAAGAGATTAAATATTAAGCGAATAAAGAAGAAGAAGTAAATTAAGATTAATAAGGGAAAGGTAGAAGTCTTAATAATTAAAGAAGTAATTAAATAAATAAAAATTTATATAATAAATGAGATAAAAGAGGTGAAGATAAGAGACGCGAAAATTATAGCGGAGGTAAATAGATAAAAGACTATAAAAATAAAAGTATAAGAGAATAGAGCTAAGAAGATTAACTTAGTTATAAAGATTATAATAACGCTTTATAAGCGAAAGAATTTTAATATTAGAATTATATTTAATATAAAAAAATAGAAGTAAGTAGATAGTAGATTTTTATTAGTCGATATATTAATAATAGCGAATAAATAGAGAATTAATATAAGAGTAAATAGGAGTAATATATATAAATAATTTTAGAAGTTAGATAGACGGCTAGTTAAAGAAATAATATAGTTTAATATACTTTTTTTAATATATCTCTAAGAGTATCTTTCTTCGACGGCGATAGCGATGGCGATATTATACTCTAAGCGTCTCGCTAATATATCGTTAATAGTATATATTTATAGATATTAGAGATTTTAAAAATAAAGAGAATTAATAAAGAAATAATTAAATAGTAATAATATAATTAATTAATATAATTATAAGACTAAAAAGAAGTTAAATCTAAAATGAATAAAGAATTAAATAAAGCTCTCTAATTAGTCGAGGCCTCTTAACCCGTAAACGTAGAAATCTTATTTCGATATTAAATAATTTAATATAAGATACGTAGTAATTTTCTTTATAATAATATTATATAGCTAAATTTAATAGATCTATTAATAACGATAGCGAGATTCGCTAATAGCGCTATATAGCTTCGAATATAGCTATAGTATAGAACGATTAGCTATACGCGTTTAAAGTACTTAATTTAAGATTATTATTAAGTATTAATATTCTAAGTAATCGAATATTAGATATTAAAAAACGAGGTCTTCGAAGTTAAATTTAAGTACTTATAATAAGTCTTTAAACCTTTAAAGAGGCCTCGAAAAGCATTTATTCGCTATTCATCTATTATATTCTTATAAAAGTCTCATATATCGTCGATAGATCGTTTCATATAAAAATTACGATTTTATTTATCTTCTCGATTATATAAGTAGCGAGCTATTTCTTTATTATAGTATAACTCTATTTATTATTATAAGGCGAGATATATATTTAAAGTATTATAATTATATAAGTCTAAAACGAGTATATAAGAAACTTATTAAATATCTAAAAGTTATTCTTTTTAAACGATCTTATATTCTTATAATTTTAGAAATCTTATATATATTATAAATACGAGGGATTATTAAATATATATATATTCTTTAATTTTCGATTACGTTTATTACTCGCTATTAATTTTAAGCTAAAGTTAATATTATTAATCTTTTTTAGATTAGATAATAAAGTACTCGCTTAATACGCCTTATAAATAATCGTAAGATAGATTATTTTAATATAAAATAAGATCGATATAGATATTAATTAAGTTATTCGATTATAATTAGAAGTCTTTTACTCTATATAACGTCGTTTAATACTCTATAGATAAGAGAATATAAGTTAATTATCGTATATAAGACGTAGATTAATATCTTAATAAGAATTATCTTATTCGAGTTCGATTTATTTAAAATAAATATTTTTAAGTATCTTAATATTATCTTTTATAGTACTCTTATTAATATCGATAGAATTAAGCGAGTAACTAACGATTTTCTATAAAGATAGCTTATTAATATAAGATATAAAACTAATTAACGATAGCTAATTTTTATATAACTATTTTTATTATATAGGGAAAGCGTTATAAATAGCGATATTTATAAGATAATTAATATACTAACGCTATTAGTCTATAACTTTTTTATTATTATAAATCGTTAAAGAGATTAATCTATCTCTTAGCGAACTTCGTTTTTATATAGTTTAGATATCTTTAATATATAAGATATATATAGAGGCTTAAAACAATTTATTATTAAGACTTTAAATCTATAGAAAGATATATTATCTTCTTAAATTATATAAT